ACACCTATAAAATGTGACCATTCCATAAAAATAAAATTTCGGTAAATCCTGAGGTTCATTTTTTTTTAAAACAAAAATCTCATAATTAGGAAACTGCTAGGAAACCTAGTCAAGATTATCAATTTCATGAATGTTCTTTTAATTATTCACATTTCATCCTGAGAGCATAAGAGAGCTTATACTTATTTCATTTAATAGAAAACATAACCACAGAGGGGTATGTAAAAGGAAAAATTGTAGGTAGCTTTCAGTTTATGTTTTTGAGATACCATGAGAGAAGTAAGCCCTACAGAGGATGAGTGGAGTAACTATTTTCTTAATCTTCCCAAGGAAATATATAGCTAACACCACTGTGGGTGCATGGTAGAGAGGTTAGTTTATTTCATACAGTGGATGCCTGAAGGCTTAATTCCCTCACTGAGCCTGGGTTGACTGCTTCAGATTAAATATCCCAAGCTCCTCCTCAGCTCTCCTACAGTGAGTTTCTGTCCACCTGGTCGTATTGGCTGGCTGCCTCAGCTTGTATGTGCCACTGATTTGTAACTGTCATTCTTCAAGTATAGCATACACTTCAGCTTTCTTTTGGTGCAGAATATTCTGAATGAATTGATTTCTGAGTGTGAGGGCTTTTTGTGTGTGTGTGTGTGTGTGTGTGTGTTTTAATATACTTTTGCTAGAGGCCCGGTGCACAAAGTCATGCATGGGTGGGGTCCCTTGGCCTGGCCAGTGGTCGGGGCCATCTCGCCCAGTCCGATCGGGGCCGGCCAGGGGGAGGGACCATGGGAGGTTGGCCGTAGGAGTGCACTGACCACCAGGGGGCAGCTTCTGTGTTGAGCATCTGCCTCTGGTGGTCAGTGTGTGTCATAGCGACCAGTCGTTCGGTCACTTAGGAATGAAAATTTTATATATATATATATTTATATTTCAGAGAGAGGGAGAGAAACAATCAATGATGAGAAAGAATCATTGATTGACTGCCCCCTGCACACCCCACACTGGGGATCGAGCCCACAGCTCGGGTATGTGCCCTGACTGTGAATCCAAACGTGAACTCCTGGTTCATAGGTCGACGCTCAACCACTGAGACACACCAGCTGGGCCATTATTATTTTTATAAAAATTACGCATGCTTGTTACATACTTATCAAGCAATATAGAAAACTTTAAAAATAAAGCAACAAATCATCCAAATTCTTATCATACAAAAATAACCTGTGTTGAAATTTGGTGAACATTCTATGCCTATATTAACAGCTTAATTTTTTCATTGAGTAACAACTTATTAACTACTAAATTAGTTGCCCAAAGAAAGACAGGACACATTTGTTTTAATCTAAATTGCCTGGTTCTACTGATAGATTTCCCAAAAGTATTAACAAATCACTATCTTATATTAAGTTGATAGAGCAAAATTTTTGATACAGTGCCCAGTACAGTAGTTTTCTAGGAGTGTCCCCCACCAACCCTGGGAGTCCACATCACATTACTGGATCCTGTGGAGGCTGTACATTTATTTATTTATTGCCTAACTCCAGGAATTACATATTAATTCTCTCAAGATAACTGAGTTTAAATTGCATTATCATGTGAGATAAGAGCAGTCCATCCAAACTGGAGAGCATTATGCTAAGTGAAACAAGCCAGTCAATGAAGGAAAAATACCACATGATCTCACTCTTTCGTGGATAATTAAGACCATTACAAACTTTCGAACAATAATAAATACAGTGGCAGAGCTGCCTCAAACTGATTGTCGAACTGCAGTGGGAAGGCCAGGGAGGGTTGGGGGACAGGAGGGAGGGGAGTAAGAGATCAACCGAAGGACTTGTATGCATCCATATAACCATAACTAATGGACATAAGACACTGGGGGGTAAGGGAGGGCAGGGGCTTGTCAAGGGTGGGGGTGGGGTGGGGAAAGGACACTTATGTAATACCCTTTGTAATACTTTTAGCGGAAAAAAAAATAAAAATAAAAAAAAAAAGAGCAGTCCATCCAAACATTGTGTTTATTTGCAGATTTGTTAGCCCTTTTTCCTGTACCTGATTTCAAATCAATGGTAAAATTGCTTAAAAGGGAGAGTGGAGCCAAGGACAACAATGCTGTAGGGACTGTTCTCAATTGACCCCAAGCTGTGAATAAATACTCTTTGGATATAATATGTTAACCTGTTGTCATCATCCCATATTTAATCATCTTATTTAAATTGATGTCATAGGATATGTACTTAGCTGGTTTGTTTGTTTCTTAAGTCAAGGCACACTTTGACAGCATTAGTGAAACTATGTAAATACCCTTGATTATGCCTACATTACTTTCTAAATGCTTATAATGGGTTGACAATATGATCCTGAATTTTACTGGGATATGACATCAGACACATTGGTTTGTAATTTCCAGAAATTTACCTGTTTTGTTTTATATCTCCAGTCATTAGAAATTTCTTTAGTTTTCTCTGAATTTTCAAAGATCACTGCTACTGTGATCTGACAGGCATTATTCTGAGTAGTAAATGGTGCTATAGTAGTCAGCATGGGGTGCCATAACAAAATTAAGACTGGGTGTCTTAAACAATAGAAATTTATTTTCTCAGTCTGGAGATTAGAAGACCCAGGTCAAGGCCCAGCAGGGTCAGTTTCTGGTGAGGGCTGTCTTCCTGGCTTGCAGGTTGCCACCTTTTCACTCTGTCTTCACATGGTGGAGAAAGGTGTGGGGGAGGGCAGGAAATCTTTCTCTCTCTGCCACCAGTCCTATCAGATTAGGGTCCCTCCCTTATGATCTCATTTAATTTTAATTATCTCCTAAAGACCCTGTCTTCAAATACAGTCACATAGGGAGTTAGGGTTTCAATATATGAATTGGGGGGGGGGGTAACCATTTCAGTACAAAGCAGTGGACCCAGGGTTAAAAATTTAATCTCTCTTGGTTCTAGAGTCTTTCTGTATTTACAGCCTTCCTTAGGCGCCATCTTACTTACCCTAATCTACCATAAACTGGATTTATTCTTGCTTTTCAGTGAAACAAAACAATAGTTTTGATTTTTCTACTCTTGGTAATGAAACATAAATATTCCCCAAACTTTTCAAAAGCTTTAATATATGCATCACGAATTCCAGAGTAGGAATGAATAAAGCAAGCCTGGCATCTACAGTATGCTATATTTGCCCAATTTATCCAATTATAAATTCTTCATCCTGTTTTTAATTATTTGCTCACATGTCTTTAACATACCTACTGACACTTCCCATATAGACAATGTTAGTTTTATTCCCCAAGTTACAATATACCCTTTTTAAGATGAGGATGGAGAATCCTGACACTGCCTAATTCTCCATAATTTTGAGAGTATATAGATAATATGTGTTCTTCTATGTATCCTTTCCCCCTATTTCTTTTTTAAATTGAAATATAATCTACAGTAAATTCAAGTGTGTAGTCTTGAATTTTGGCAAATATACACACCCATGTAATCTTTTCCCCAATCACAACAAAAAAGGTTTCCATCACTCGAGCAAGTTCCCCAGGTCCCTTTTCAGTCAGCCCTCCTGTCCCCAGGGGCAGCCCATATTCCGATTTCTCTCACCATAGAGTAACTTGGCCTATCCTAGAACTTTATAAAAATGGAATCATACAGTATGTGCTCTTGTGTCTTGACTTTGTTCAACATAACATCTTTTAGATTCGTGTATATTATTGTGTATATTAATGGTTCATTCCTTTTATTGCTGAATAGTATTTCATTATAGTATGAATGTACAACAGTTTGTTTATCCATTTTCTTATTGATGGACATTTGCATTTCTGGTTTTTGGCTCTAACAAATAAAGCTACTATAAACATTTTTAGATGGGTCTTTTGAAATTTCTCTTGGGTAAATAACTGGAGTGGAATTGTGGGATCATAGGGTAGGTCTCCATATATCTTTGATTAGCTGGCTGACTTCCTTAGTACGTTGATTGATTACTGGGCTTCTATCCAGTCTTTTCCCAGCCCTGTTAAATACTTGTGCTATTTCCCATATTTCAAGCAGTTCTGGTGACTTTTTATTTCAAAGGATTAAAAAGCTACATGTGAATCATGGGTAATAGTATTTTGTTTAGTCTTCCTTGCTACTTTGCATATTTATAGTTATTTTATGCTTTTGAACACTTTTCATCTATCTTTTGGGTTTTTTGGTGAATAACAGACTTAAGATGAGTGGTGGACAGGTGTGATATCCCCTCTTTATAGCTAAGAAAACTGAGTGTCGATTTTACTAGACCTGAGATGCTTCTATTCTGGTTCTAGTCCTTTACATTTCATAGAGAGTTTGTCATTCATCTACTGAAGATAGGATTATCACTATAAGGAGAATATTATATTTTTAGTTCTGATTATATTGCTTTATATTGCTTAATGTCAGTAGCATCCTAGATTCCTTAGAATCTTATTGTGAGATGTGAAGTTTTCCTTATGCTTCTGGGAGACAAAACCCTTTGGAGAGTAAACTCTTAAATTGCTTTGTCAACACTAACTTTCCTACCAGGTAGCCTCACAGCAAAGACTTCAAATATCCTCCCCCCCCCCCCCCCCCCTGCCCCCCGTTCCCTTTTCTTCTCATGAACTAGATCCTAATGATTGCTTATTTTGTAAAATATAGTACTGGTAGTACTTTGGAACATGGTTATGTTTTAAATTTATATATATTTAATGGCAAAGCAATACATCTCCTTAAAACTGTTGAAAGTATAAATTAATTTTATCTCACCATCTAGAAAAACTAGATATAATGATCGTTTTTAAAGAATATTTGTTAATATTTCTTCTTGCACATTTTGATAGAGAATGTTTTATCTTGATGCATCCTGTATGACTCTGAGTACTGCCTTTAGTTAAAAATATATTTGGGGGGGTGGTAAATTTCTACTTGTTTACTCAGGAAATTTTATTTCTTTCATATATAAAATTGCTAAAACTGTTAACTCATTTGTTTTATAACTTTTATCTTCATGTGTTTTAGGAAGCAGTTCAGGTACTTTTGAAGCACTCTGCAGATGTTAATGCTCGAGACAAAAATTGGCAAACCCCTTTACACATAGCTGCTGCTAATAAAGCCGTAAAGTGTGCTGAAGCTTTGGTACCTCTTCTGAGTAATGTGAACGTGTCTGATCGAGCAGGGAGAACTGCATTACATCATGCAGCTTTCAGTGGACATGGTGAGGTAGGTGGTATTCAACTAGACAATGGTGCTCTTCCCCTAAGTCCTCCCACTCCCTCACCCCAATTATTAGTGTACTTGCCTTTTTAGCCATTCCTTAGTTCATGATATAAGCAAGCAAAAATATTTATCTTGGTAATTTAGTCTAATTTTACTATGAAAGCCTTTAAACTTCTTTCATAATTCATGATAAAACTTTCTCAAATTTAGAAATTTATTTATCAGATGCAGCCCATGCACTTACTTGATTTTCATAGTCAACCTGGGGAGATAGGAGAACACTGCCAACTATAACACAATGTGAAAACTGTGTTCTGTTGTTGGAAAAATAGTCTCGGAAGACAGAAGTTTATTGTGCTCCCAGAAATAGAATAGCAAAGGAAGGTGGGGTTTAGAAGACATTTTCTTACTGTTTATTATCAATATTTAGCCAAGAATTCTTTGTGGACAGACCATCAAAAGAAAACAATTTAAGAAAATAAGTAATTATCTTATACAGCAAGCATTATCTAATGTTAGGTGTTTCCATAGCAAAGAGTAGAGTTTATGTGTACAGAGAAGACTTAGAAAAGAGCAAAACACAGAATTAGAAGAACCTTTGAGGCCAGCTTGTCTAGTCCTTCATTTTTATTGAAGATACAGAAACTAAAAGGTAAAGTGACATTCCCAAGATTCTCTGGCTGAGAGCTAATGGCTGCAGTGTTAATTTTCACTATTCTTCTCTGCCTTTGCAACAAAGAATTCTTGCCTCCACTGCAGTTAAGATCACAAGATGCATCCCTTTTAGGAATCTGGAATGCCCTTTGCACTGGGGAAACTATTGAAAATATGGTTAGACATAACAGAAATATTATTCTTGGTATATTATGAGGTAAGTAGACTGTGCAGGGACCTACAGGACTAATCATGGTATGGACATCACACTTGTGTTTGAATTAAGTTTAAGGCACTTCTGGAATAATAATGTGCTTTTTATTTTAATAACACTTTGGGCTATAAAATAAGGGATAAAACCCGTTTTTGAATATTTCATCTTTATAAACTTGTACTTAGTTGTTCATAAAATACCAGGATACAAATTGGCATCTTTAAAAGATACTGAAACAACCACAGTGAACCCTTTTTCATATTTTATCCTGTCATTTACTGAATGATGCTAAAGGGTCTTCAGCATTTAGTATCGCTCCTTTATATAAGTGCAGAAATTCAGTCCCAGAGAGATTGAGATGAGTGTTCATCACAAAGGATATTCATGTACAGTTGTACTTCTGAATTTTGATAACTGTGTTTATTGTAATTCCAGATGGTCAAACTACTCCTGTCTAGAGGTGCCAATATTAATGCTTTTGACAAAAAAGATAGACGAGCTATCCATTGGGCAGCTTATATGGGTATGTACTTTGAAAATTTATTCTTTTACATTATGTATTCAGGAAAAGTTGTGCATTTTAGTTCTTCCACTTGATGCCCAAGTGGAACCAGCCTGGTAGTATGGAGGTTTGTCAGAACAGGAGGGCATGGGTTCAGTTCTCCTGAAAGCTGTTCAAAATTAATTCTGTTTACTTTTAAAGGGAGCAACATAATAAACACAAGTTTGGGATAATTTAAATTAGTGTTTATAAAAGTCCATACTTCTGCCCATCCTTGTTTTTATGGGAATTCAGTTAGATGTTATGAAAATGCATTAGGAAGCCTATTATTTTGGGCCAAGCACTGGGTTAAATAGGCACCAGTAGTAATTTCACAGAAAGAAACAGTATAGGCTTTTCTGTTGTAACATGATATATGTGGTTTTGGAAAAATCTTAGGATCTGCAAACTTGCACTCTAGAACTAATAGAGCTCATCGGAAAATAGTTCTGGAGCAGACCTCCCAAAACTTATGCAACTTTGTGGCCAAAATACTAACAAAAACATTAATTGGCGCTTGAAATAACTTGGCCAGCCAGTGAGGAAGCAGATCACCATACCTCAGGGTACTTTAAAATGCTCAGAAAGAGCAGAGTAGAAATGCTGTCTTGTAGGTGAAAGTGGATCTCTGAGCATGGAGGAAGTACAGCCTGCCACAAACCTTGCAAGTCCTGCAAGGCTGGGGTTGTGCCTCTGGGAGGAAGCCATGGATACAGGCTTTGGCTTTTCAAGCTTCTTGAAATAGAACTGAAAGAAATCCTTCCTTTGCAGCCGTGGAGCTCAGAGCTTTTTCTCTTCCCACCAAAGGGTGTCTGTCTTTCTGCTTCCACTATTCAGGCTCCTCTGGCTTAGGAAGAATCGTATATGGACCGACATATCTTCTGTATAATACTGGTATTCCTGATTTACCACTCACATACCTGACATCTAGCTAGCCACCTTTCTTACAGGCATAGCTTATCCTCATTACTCCCTGCTCTGGATTTTATCTTTTTCTATATTTCACTTAAAAGTAAAAGAGTAAAGGAAGATTCAAAGGAAGATTATTAATTTTAAAACTATTAAAATTTTGAAATGTGAAAATACAAGAAAACAACTTAAACCAGTTATCAATAACCCTAAGGTCTAGGAAAATCCTTTGCTTATAGTAGAAATAACCACAAGCAGTAAAATCCATCTTGAATAGCAAGTCTAACCGTTAGTGTGGGTGCAAAGGAAAATAAAAAATGAAGGCTAATGTCATTGTCATCTGGTCCCTATTTTGAAAGCCAAAAGCTGAAAATCTTGGTCTTTTGGTGTTTGTCTCATACCAAAGTTTTGTGCCTCTAGTTATGTAATGGGCAATTCTTCTGTTCACTGACGGTGTACATCAAGCATGTCAAACTCAAAGGCTAACATGGGCAAAATAAATAAGGCATGTGGCCTGCGGGCTGCAAGTTTGACATGCTTGATGTACATCCAGAAGCAAGTCTCCTATGGCATCCTAACTTCCCCTCCTCACAGCCCACAGATTTTAAATCTTAGAAACTTTCTGAATATTCTGGTGTAGCTTATTCTTAAAGACAGCTTAGAAATAGCTAGTCTGTGTGATTTAAATTATACGCCTCATGTGAAAGGTTTACACATTAAGCAAAGTGCATTAGGCCTTTTACCTCCAAAGAATTAAACTTGACTAAACAGCTGTTTCCATGCAATTGGAGGCCAGGGGATTTTATAGGTTATCTCTAAAATGGAGCTCCCAGAATAGCTGGGTGTATCTCACTGGCCCTGAGATGACTTTGTTTTTCTTGATCCCCTAAGTGTCACTTTTCAGGCCAATTGTGAATTGAAAAAGGTATTCTGTGTTTCTTGGACCTCACTGTCCATTTAATTTTTTAGCACAAACATTCAGAAATTCATAATTCTTCTTTCCCTTTCTCTTCTTTCAGCATGGAAAGAGGAGTATTGACACATAGTTTCTAAAACTACTCAGCTGTTTTAGGCACTCAGGATTAAAGAGAGCTAAACATGAAAGTAGGGAGCTCTCGACCAGTCTAATAGCAAGCTTAAGTCCAGGTCATTGTCACCTCTAGGTTATATTCAGAGAATCTATCAGTATCAGGGTAAGAGACATTAGGATTACATGTATTAATCTTATATAATTTATTTCCCACAGGCTTCCTTGTTTGCCCTGGCCTTCTTACCCCCTGGTTGATGCTTCCCTTACTTTTCTCTTAGGGTCTATTCTTACCCTTATGCTATTACTGAATTCTCTGTCAAGTGTTCCCCAGTCCCACCTCTGTCCCCAGAATGAATTGATCATTTCCCATCCCTATCCCTTTTTTGCTTCTTCCGCGAACCTTCATTTAAAATTCCTTTTAAGCATTCATCTTTTCTATTGCTTTCAGTACTTTTAGCAATATCCAACCAAGCTCTACCTCAGGTCACCTTACCGTGATGACAGACATAAAAGGTACTGAATAAGTATTAATTACCTTGATTAGCAACTCATTATTTCTTCTTGAAGCAATGCATAATTTGAATGGATTTAAAATGACATTTTTTCTCCATCCTTTCCTTTCCATAAAAACTTATAAATTCTAAGCATAGCTCATTTTACTTTTCTTATACATTCATGAACAACAGAAGAAAAAAGTAGGAAATTTTCAAAATTCCTGAAGTATAGTGATTATATTTATCAAATTCACATTGCAGAGATATAATTTTTTAAAAGGATGTTGTTGACTACAGAATTATGTATACTATGGATGTCATTTTTTAAAATACACATTGATGAATTAAATGAAGTCTAATCCCATTGGTAGCATCATTCTGTACATTGACAAGACAGACACATCTTGAAGACAGAGGGTTCACCCCGCTAGAACAATATTATTTATTTCACTCTAGAACTTTCTTTCCTTTTTTCTTTTAAATAAGTCACCTCCAAACTGGCTGTAGCTGGTTTTGCTCAGTGGCTAGAGCATCGGCCTGCGGACTGAAGGTTCCCAGGTTCGATTCTGGTCAAGGACATGGTGCCAGGTTGCAGGCTCCATCCCCAGTAGGGAACGTGCAGGAGGCAGCCAGTCAATGTTTCTCTCTCATCATTGGTATTTCTATCTTTCTCTCTCTCTCCCCCTCTTCCTTCCTCTCTGAAATCAATAAAAATATATTTAAAAATATATATATGTTTATGTTTGCATATCCTGGATGTTATAAGTTCTGATTTTCACTGCATTATAATAAATTCAAGTAGCTGTCTCTCTAGGGCCGTGGATCAGAAAGTAATGTGTAATAAACAAGCCAGTCAATGAAGGAAAAATACCACATGATCTCACTCTTTCGTGGATAATTAAGACCATTACAAACTTTCGAACAATAATAAATACAGTGGCAGAGCTGCCTCAAACTGATTGTTGAACTGCAGTGGGAAGGCCAGGGAGGGTTGGGGGACAGGAGGGAGGGGAGTAAGAGATCAACCGAAGGACTTGTATGCATCCATATAACCATAACTAATGGACATAAGACACTGGGGGGAAAGGGAGGGCAGGGGCTTGTCAAGGGTGGGTGGGGGGAAAAAGGACACTTATGTAATACCCTTTGTAATACTTTTAGCGAAAAATAAAAAAATAATAAAATAAAAAAAAAAAAAAAGAAAGTAATGTGTAATGAGGGATCATTTGTACCAGTTAATACTCATATTATATGATAGTCACATGTAATTTGGCACCTAATTGTTCTTTTTTCCCTAAAAATATCATTTAAAAAATTTTTTTCATATTGAGATGGGGAAAAAATAGGTGAAAGGATTCACTTTAATTGATAATTTATATATAAACAACTAAATCTACTTGACCCTGTGTGTCTTGTTATATGCTTGCCTAATTTTTTAAGAGAGGGGGCCTATGTTTGAAGGTTTCATTTTTACAGTTATTAACTTAACATTCCCTGTGAATGGATATAAAAACCGAGATCATGAGCAATTTATTTAATGTAACAAATAATTATTGGGTGCCTATTTTGTATATAACACTGTTCTCAGCCCCATGGAATATAGCAAGACGTAAAACATAAGAGCATTCCGTATTTTCCTCTGAAGATAGATATTTGGGAAGCTAATGCATAAAAGCAATTAAAGAGTTAAATACTTATTCAACTTTAAGAAACCTCATAAGATATTATATGCTTATTAGATAGTATTTACAGATACATGGTGCTTTGGGCTGAAAGGGCTTCTGGGGAAGAGAGGTGGTTGGTCAGGGAAAATGGGAACTGACATGGGCCTTCAAGGATTAGTAGTAGCAATGTTTGAAAAGAGACATCCAAGCAGAACATTCCACACAATGAAGGAATCCCATGAACAGAGGCACAGAGGTGCAAAGGAAAATGGAAGGAGAAGGCACTGTATAATCTCATTAAATTTGAGAAAATATAAAAGAAGAATAGTGGTTCTCCCATCTTCCAGATCCATGTTCCCCTTCCTGGCCTCCATGTGTGGTTGGGTGGTGCTGAGACTAGTTCTGACTAATGAAATGAAAGCAACATCACCTCTGAGGCTCTGCAGCCTATTGCCCTTCTGGTACAGTGACTGACCAACCACCTTCAAAATGGGGTCAGCTGCATCAACCTGGGTGCTTAAATGCCTGAGAAGAGCCCTCTTGCCAAGCTATTACAGTCTTAATGAAAAATAAAATGCTAATTTTTTAAGCCACTGAAATTGGGAGTTGATCATTAAACGCAGTATATATATAATGTAGCCTATCCTGATTGATACATGGCTGAGTAACAAACTAAGTTGGTTAAGGACATCTTGTGGAAATACTAGAGGAAAAGAGATTTTTAACTGCATGTTCTAAATACCTAACATACTTAAGAAAAAACCTCAAATCACTTCCAAATTTCTAAGTGGAAGATTTCACTAAGGAAGAGAAACATAAATTAATGTCTTACACTAAACATATAAAGTTAACCTCAGAATTTGAAAAGGCATTAAAACCTTGAAAACAACAAGGTCTAGGCAAAAGAAGAACTAAAGATTGCAGGGTTATCATTTCATTAAATAATCAATTAAAGGTTTTTTACAGTTATTACCTCTGTCAACATTTATTTAAAAGTATCCTGGCTCTAGTTGGTTTGGCTCAGTGGATAGAGCGTCAGCCTGCGGACTGAAGGGTCCCAGGTTTGATTTCGGTCAAGGGCACATGCCCGGGTTGCAGGCTCGATCCCCAGTAGGGGGCGTGCAGGAGGCAGCCGATTGATGATTCTCATTGATGTTTCTATCTCTCCCTCTAAAACCATTAAAATTATATTTAAAAAATAAGTTTGTTTAAGAAAAAAGTATCCTGAATTCTTTATATTTTTCTTCCATCCTGTCTCTGGTTATAATGTGATTTATTGGTAATTTGTCATGCATTATCTAGTTAATTTGCATTTTTACCTTCCTTTAAAGATGTTCAGGATTATATTCATATTTTCCATATGCTGATATATTTATTTTTTCTTCATAAACACATTTTCAGGTCACATTGAAGTAGTAAAATTACTTGTGGCACATGGAGCTGAAGTGACGTGCAAGGATAAGAAGTCTTACACACCTCTTCATGCTGCAGCCTCTAGTGGAATGATCAGCGTAGTCAAGTACCTTTTAGACCTTGGAGTTGATGTAGGTTTATAGACTGAGCACTATAAGGGAGTGGAGAATTTTATATGTTTGTGATTTTACTATTGGTAGAAGTTACTTCAGATTTAAAAGATGATTTTATACAATAATTTTTATGTCTTTTAACCAGATATACTTATAGTCCTTTACATAATATATAGTGCACTGATATCTGATGAAGACATGTAATTAGTCAAAGTAGATGAAGAGGTAAAATACATTTCAAAGGTGAATGTTTGAGTGACAAAAGTTTTTACTTCTCCATCGTATTCCAGGCTCTGTAGTTCCATTTCAGCTATGAAAACCAGCAGCTCAGACATACATGAATTATTTTTTCTAAGTGGCTAGGTTATGGTTAGTCTTATTTGCCCACTTAGTCTAATATTCCCTTTAAATGACTGTAGCAATTCACATTACAGGATATTGGCAAGAGATAGGCAGGAAAACTAGAGTTTCTTGCCCATCAACCATAAATGTTTGGTTAGAAAGGGTTGCTGCTTTATCTGAATATATTTGATCCTGGAATTATAGCTTAGAATACCTGTAGCTTTCACAGGCCATCCTTTTAAGCAGGAGTACTTTTTATCCAAGAGTATATTTACTCTAATTTTAAATACAGTTCTGACAACCTCCTCTGGTTCTTAAAACATAGATTTTAGGAGCAGCAAATTAGGAGAGAAGGAAGTCTCTGCTAGACGAATGCAGTTTAGATCAGACAAACAAGAAAGAGGTAGGTAGTAGCCTCTGGTCGGCCAAAGAATATATGGTGACTATAGAGCTCTGTAGACTTAATTTAAGGACTGTGGGAAGCACTTTGCCTAAAGCAAGCAAGTAATTACTAAAGTGTGGGGATCTTGAAAAGTCTCAGAAATCTAAGCACATTTTTAGGCATCTCAACAGTTCCTATAGCTCTATTTTCAACAGTAACAGAATGCTTTAAAAGTGTCCTGATCTAGATAAATGAGACAACCTTGTTTCTGATCTCTGTTCAAGTTCCTTTCTGATGCAATTTTAAAGCTTATTTTATTGAGAGTAAAATTACATTTGTACACACTTTAAAATAGTCAGACTTAGAGCCATTTAGTGACATGTGGCCTCCAATTGCATGATTTATTAGTTTCCTACGGCTGCCTTCACAAATTACCATAAAGTAAGTGACTTTAAACAGATTTAATCTCAAAGTTCTGGAGACTCTGAGGGAGAATCTATTCCATGTCTATTATCTTTTGTTGATTAAATCTAGGTACTTTGACTAAAGTCACATGCTACATTTTTACTTCCCCCAATTTCTGTTACCAGGTATCTGAGAAAAGAAAATGGTATGTAAAGTTGTGATAAGTGGGGGCCAACTACAAGGTTTGAGGGCACAGTTTCCATACAAGACTACCTTTACTTCTGACCAACTACAAGTTTGGGCATTTCCCAAAACTACCTTCAGGTTTCCTAATTCACTAGAATCACTCAAAAAGCTCACTAAAAGCTATTATACTCACAGTTATGGTTTATTATACAGCAGAGATGCAAATGAAGGTATCTGAAGGAAGAGACACATAGGACAGAGTTCAGGAGTATTCTTAATGCAAAGCTTCCATTGGCCTCTCCCATGGAGTTAGGACTCCTTACTCTCAAAGCATTAGTGTATGACAATATGCGCATGGTATTGCCAACAAGAAAGATTCACCTGAGCTTCCTTTTTAGTGTTTTTATTGGATTTCCATTACATGGGGATGATTGATTTTATCAGTTGCCCACATTGTTGATTTCATTCTCTAAATCCAATGATACCAAAGGGCCCTAAGACTCATCAGCTATCGCCAATACTACTTTAAGATCCAGTGTAGCCAGCTCCCTCCCTAAACAAGGACACTCCTATTGCGTATGCTGTGTATTACCTCCCAGAAGACAAGGTCAAAGACCAGACATTTCTTTGGCAAAGGTCAGATTCTTTACTACACAAAAGTCATGTAGACTTTTGCCCATTTTACTTATTAGAAAAAAGAATAACTTGAGTTGCATGAATTATTTCTCAGTATTGAGCATATTTTGAACACATTTATTTTGGTAAAATGTCAATATGTAAGACAGGAAAATGTCTAGAGCCCAAGTTGTAAAAATATATTAAATAGAAAAAAATGCCACTCATTTAAAAAATTTTCTGATACCTACTACATTACTAACTTTTGTCACTGTAAGTGAAAAGGCTAAGCATGTGCACATTATTCAATAATATCTCAGAATTTTCCGTTTGTGTTCATTTTTTCATGATTCTTAGAGTTAATTCTCTAAATGTCCTTTACCTGGAAGTCTTTTATATCTCACTAAAATATCTCTCTTGGAATCATTCAGTTTTGTCATGCAGTAGACATTGTACATGTGAATTATATTCTCTGTACAAAATGCTGTTTGATACAAAAATGCTGTTTTTAATGTTCATTATTGAAGTTGAGAATTATAAGCCAATCTGTATATTTATCCCTGTTTCTCACTTTAATAATTTGCTTGCAAGCAAAATGTTGTTAAAATAACTCACAACAAGGATAATTAGAAACACTACTTTAACATTGACATTTTGTTTTCTCCCAATAGATGAATGAACCAAATGCCTATGGAAATACACCTCTTCATGTAGCCTGCTATAATGGACAAGATGTTGTAGTGAATGAACTTATAGATAGTGGTGCTAATGTAAATCAGAAGAATGAGAAAGGATTTACTCCTTTGCACTTTGCTGCTGCCTCAACACATGGAGCGCTGTGCTTAGAGCTCCTGGTGGGCAATGGGGCTGACGTCAATATGAAGGTAGGAATACAATTGGAATCCACACTAGTATTTAGGAGTTCACTATTTAAAACAATATCAGTAACATATCATTCCTCAACAAAAAGTAACAAATTACTGATACAAGAACATAGATGAATCTTGAAAATATGTTGAGTGAAGCCTTACACAAGAATATATATATATACACTATTTCCATTTCTGTCAAATCTAGAACAGTTGAAATTCCATTTACATGGTGTTCCAGATTCTATAGTTTAAAAAACAGCCTGGCTGATGTGACTCAGTGGTTGAATGTCGAACACCAGGAGGTCATGGTTCAATTCCTGGTCAGGGCACATGCCTGGGTTGTGGGCTCTAGTAGGGGGCATGCAGGAGGCAGCTGATCAGTGGTTCTCTGTCATCATTGATGTTTCCATCTCCCTCTCCCTTCCTCTCTGAAATCTCAGTGGTATGTGTATGGGTGTTCACTGTAATACTCTTTCAACTTTTCTATTTTGAAATTTTTCACAATGTTGCCAATTGGATGGCTTGTTTGCTTGAAAATATGAATATAAAATTAAAGAATTAAATACCTAAATAGGTATTTATGAAATAAATCTAATACTCCATTATTATAATGAATGACATGATGGTTTTTTTTCTTCTTTTAATCTTTATTGTTGAAGGTATTATATAGATCCTTTTGACATGAGAGTTTCTTAAGGAGATCTGCATTATACAGTTTTAGTGTAAACTTGGCACTTACCACATTTCAGTTTTGAATATATACACAGAAGGTATGTTGAATATTGTGAAGGATTAGAATTATAAAACAATTCCTTTCCTTTTTTGGTGGTCATGTATATGTTTTGATTTGTTAAATAATTTTGGGGAAGAAAAGACTTTACCTAACTCAAGCATTGTTTTCATGTTTAGAACTCCTTTTAATTTCAGAACTTTCACATTAAATACACACATGCACATCTAGTTTGATTTATTATTTTAAGTAATTTGAGAAAATACCTAACAAAAATAATATATCAGTTTTTAAGTGAATTATGGGCTGAGGTTAATTACAACATTCACTTTTCCTTGGTTGAGGAGGGATTCAATATTTCTTAAAATGAAGGAATTAGAGCAATGTGAAATTTTTGAAATGTGGGAAGCACATCCTGGCTGTGTCCCACTCCCGATTATATGGCTTGGTTAGTATCCTGTGCTTCAGTTTCCCCACCTATGAGATAGGAATGATAGTAAGATTATACTGTACCTACCATGCAGAGCTTTTTATAAACTGTAGGCATTGATTTTTTTAATTTGTGCTTTATAATACACATGCTAAGAAATTAGTTCATAATTTTCAACAACTGTTTTACCTCCATAGCTTCAGCTAAACTTAACACTTGAGTAATAGTTATACAAAATAAAAATACAAGAGAACATTAAAAATGAAACTAAGGATTACATATTATGGATAGGATAATTATTTTAAATTTTTTTTGTTTGATTATTTCAGAGCAAAGATGGGAAAACCCCACTGCACATGACTGCCCTCCACGGTAGATTCTCCAGATCACAAACCATTATCCAGAGTGGTAAAAAGTATTTCTGTTTGTTTTTTTTTCTTAAATGTAGTAAAAACATCCACAAAATGAATGGTATTGAGGACTTGTCATAGTAGTCTATTTTTTAAATATTTGATGTCAGATCTCATGAAAACCAAATAAAGAAAATAAAATGCCATGTATATGTTTTTTACATAATTTCTTAAATTTATTTTTAGTTGTTTCCCCTGGATTATAAATCTAATTTCTCTAGCAGTAATGTTGGCTTTTTAAAAACATTGCTAAAGAGAAAATTCTGCCTTTCCACTGCATTGTATATTATATATAAACAAAACTCTGTTGCAAATATCTTTTTTCCCCTTTTTAATATTTTGAACTATTTTTAGAATTTTCATTTACTTTTGAACTTGTATTCTTTTGCATTTGAATTAATACTGGGCAAGCTAAACTTTTAAGTAAAAAGAACTTTTAGGCGCAGTGCTTTAAAGCAATGTTTTTCAAGACATGTTTCTCAAGATAACAGCTGTTAGTGGTTTTGCAGAGGAAAAATAGGAACAGGTTCATGATCAAATACTTTGTGAAGCATTGCATGCAGTATTCTTGATGATGTGAGAGTGTGCACATTAACGTTCTGAAAAGTCTTGTTCTAAAGAAATGTGTTTAATTTTGCTTTAAAACAATGGTCTCCAAACTTATTGGACCCCAGAACCCTTAAGTATAAAATCTGTAACTCCAGTGCCTAGACCAATGTACTATGAATGAAATCTAGTTAAATCCATCAGTGTGCTTGAATAGAACTTTATCTTGCTTTTCATGTAATAGATTTGTCTTGATCTTTATATAATCTAGTGTCTGATAGCATGTCCTTTATTGCAGGAGCTGTAATTGACTGTGAGGATAAAAATGGAAACACCCCTTTGCACATAGCAGCAAGATATGGCCATGAACTGCTAATCAACACTCTTATTACAAGTGGTGCTGACACTGCAAAGTAAGTACTTACCAAGGCGTCGATAGCTGTGACAGAGAAACACAGAAGGAAGTGAACTGCATTTTCCTAGATATTTCAATTAGAAATGTGGGTTTTAGCCTCCAGCAATTACATATTGTACTAATTGCTAGAGGGTTTTTTTCCTCCTTTTTGTATTTACGATGTGGTAGAATAGAGTGGTAATACAATTTCATTTGGTAAGCCCGCATAGAGTATTTTTAAATATTTTTTAACTCCAGTTCTTTCTAGATCATGCAGTTTTGATTAGAGCTTTTAATTTGTGTGGTCTATTTATTTTTAATACTGGAGATCCGGTGCATGAAATTTGTGCACAGGGTGGGGGGGATCCCTCAGCCCGGCCGGCCTGCACCCTGTTCAACCCGGGATCCCTCTCGCTGGCTCCTAGTCGCTCGCCTGCCTGCCTGATGGCCCCTAACTGCCTCTGCCAGAATGATCGCCCCTAACTGTCTCTGCCTTGGCCCCCGCCACCGTGGCTTTGTCCGGAAGGACGTCCAGAAGATGTCCGGTCTAATTATCATATTACGCTTTTATTAGTATAGATATTTTTGGTTGCAATAATTTTGAGAGGAGGATGTTCCTGGCATATAGTGTAGTGTAGGTAGCACACAGGGGCACTGCTGAACATCCTACATGCACAGGATGGCCCCCATACACACACAAACACACATACATACATACACACACAACAAAGTTTATAATGACAGTAGTGCTGTGGTTAAAAAAACCTTACTCTTTGAGGAAAATTGCTGGATAATAAGTTATGCCCACCTTTAACCTATTGCCAAATTGCTCTCTAAGGTGTTAAGATTTTGACCCACCTGTCTTTTCACTTTAAGTAATTTATTGTCTTTTTCTTGCATTGTAATGAAAATACTGTCCGGTTTATTTCAGGCGTGGCATACATGGAATGTTCCCCCTCCATTTGGCAGCCTTGAGTGGTTTTTCAGATTGCTGCAGGAAACTCCTTTCTTCTGGTGAGTGGGACTTTTGTAAACTGATTATTTTGTCTCCTACCCCCATTTTAATACAATTTATTTGTTCTTCGATAATTACATACAGATATCTCCAAATGTGAATCATGTATTAACCCCTCTTAGAAAATGTTGTGTCCTTTAATTTTTTTAAAAAATATATATATTTTATTGATTTTTTTTACAGAGAGGAAGGGAGAGGGATAGAGAGTTAGAAACATCTATGGGAGAGAAACATCGATCAGCTGCCTCTTGCACACCTCCTACTGGGGATGTGCCCGCAACCAAGGTACATGCCCTTGACCAGAATCGAACCTGGGACCTTTCAGTCCATAGGCCGACGCTCTATCCACTGAGCCAAACCAGTTAGGGCGGGTCCTTTAATTTTAAGGTTCAATTTTCTCTTCATCTCTGGAAAAGGTTTTACTTTTCCAGTGATTTTCTTCTCTCTGTTAGTTAGGAATGGGATGTGGAGTATTTCTAGAGCAGCTTCTGTTCATTGAAGGGTAACCATCTTCTGGGATTACCCCGTTATGTCTAAAAGCAAAATATCTTTATTTGCATGGTTCCTTTTTAAGAGCTAATTTCCATCATACAATATCCTCTCGGTTTGTGAAGTTATTTATGTCATCTAATTACTATTTTAAAATGCCACAATCGTAGTCAGTTTGAAACAAAACAGAATAGCTTTTTATAAATATTACTACAAAACTGTGGTCCTTGTTAAATTCATAGAATTACTAAATATATAAAATTTAATTGATTATATTTCTCAGAGGTTAAGAAAGTTGAACAGATTTTATATATTAATACTCATGATTGCTGAAAGGATTATGGGAAAGTTTCCATGAAAATTAGCATATTTGGAGACAGACACTTCTGAGTTTTTCTTAAATGATAATTCTTAAGTGAGTTAATTCTGTTTTGAGTTTTTAAATGTGTGTGTGTGGGTGTGCGCGCGCGCGTGCTCAGCTAGTGTGGCTCTGTGGTTGAGCATCGACACAGGAACCAAGGGGTCGTAGGTTTGATTTCCATTCAGAGCACATGCCTGGGTTGTGGGCTCGATCCCCAATAAGGGGTGTGCAGGAGGTAGCTGATCGATGATGTTCCTCCCTCATCACTGTTTCTATCTTTATGTCCCTCTAAATATCAATAAAAATATATTTTTAAAAATAAAAATAAATTGTGTGAATGTCCCCATAAGTATTCACATACCCATTTTTCTGTGAAAGAGAATTCTAAAACCTCTTCTCAGTGTTAGTAAAAATTTATAGGTAGCAAAGCACCTGTAACTTTTTTTAAAAAATGAAACATATTAAGATATAATTCACATATGGTACACTTTATTCACTTAAAGTTCGCAGTCTTTTTTTGTATATTCTCTGAGGTGTATAACCCTTACTACAGTCAGTTTTAGGATATTTTTATTTTCCTCCTAAAAGAAAGCCCCATTAGCACTCAATCCGCATTTTCTCCCTAAGCAACTACTAATCTACTTTCTGTCTATAAATTTGCCTATTCTGGGCAGTTCATAGAAATAGAATCACCCAAGATGTGCTATTTTGTGACGGATTTCTTTCACTTAGCAAATTGATCTCAAGGGGCATCCATGTTGTAGCATTATCAATACTTTATTTTCCTTTATTGCTGAATAATATTCCATTGTATTCTATGGTTTTTATTTGTATTTGTTTTGGTGTGTTTTTTCAATTACAATCAACATACAATATAGTATATTAGTTTCAGGTGTCTATAGTTTTTAAATAAGTACTCAAGCACTTATCCTAAAACCCTGTTTTTTAGTAGTAATTTTTTTGTAATATTGTATATCATTAATCTATTTTCCATAATTTTGTAACTATAATTCATAGTTTTGTTTGAGATTGGGGGGTGTGTGGCTCTTGACATTTCTTGACAAAATACTGTAATATAAGTAATGTATCTATAACATTATATAACATGTAAAATGTCTTTTTTTTTGTAGGATTTGATATAGATACCCCAGACGATAATGGTAGGACCTGTCTCCATGCAGCTGCAGCTGGAGGGTATGTTAATAAAACAGTTACTGTTTTAAGAAAAAGGTCGTCGGTCATGGCAGTTTTTCTCTTTGATTCTCTTTGTTAGTTCTGGACTACCACAAAATAGAAAACATAACAAGAATGGTTTGGGAGAAGGAAGTCCTGATTAGTAGAAATTGCTTTTCTTAAATCTTTATCCACCTAAGTCATAAATTGTGAGTAGGAGAGAGAGAACAGACTTACAAAAGGAAGTTATTGCTTTTTATAAGAATGATTTCTGGGTAAATGAAAAATATATTTCTTCCAATAAGAGCATCAAAACATTGGGAGTATTTTAAGTAATACTACTATTCTTTGAGAAGGTGTTAAGGAATTTTTTATTATAATTTCGGGGCGGGGGAAATGTTAATAGCTTGTTTATGTCTTGCTTCTACTCAGGAAGAATATATATGAAATGGAAAATTTGAAATTGAAAGATTTTGGACTAAGTTTTGAGTATTAATTACTACTACTAGGGCAAATTAGACAGTTGGTTTGAATGAACAACAAACTTCAACTAAAACTCTTGTCCCGCCTGACCGGTATGGCTCAGTGGTTGAGTGTCAATCTGTGAACCAGGAGGTCACAATTCGGCTTCCAGTCAGGGCACATTCCCTGGGTTGTGGGCTCAATTCCCAGAACGGGGGCATGCAGGAGGCAGCCAATCAATGATTCTCTTTCATCATTGATGTTTCTACCTCTTCTTTCCTCTCTCTGAAATCAATAACATTGTAGGGGGAATAAAAACCCTTGGTCCCTGAAGCATGATGCTAATCTAATGCTTTTGATAATTTAAATCTAAAGTTGTGATAAGCCGTTTAATTCTTGATGACTTTTTCAGGAAGACATTTGCAAGAGTTTTATTTCCAATAATAATTCCTTAACAATTACTGATGATTTCGAAGTGTGTTGAACCAAGACTACCACTAGGCCAGTCTCAGTTGTAGAGATGGATTGTTAACATGTGACTGGGTCCTCTTGTTCTTCCAATGTCACCAAAGAACCTTCCAGTTAAAACCTAGCATCCATGTTACTTGCCTATAGAGAGAGGGACAACAGACAACATGAATGTCTGATTGTTTGGCAGTTGCAATTTTCATACAAATAGTAAGTTGATGTTCAGGTTTATAAAAATTAAATTTTAGAAATACCCATGCATGTAACATATTCTCCTATAATTTTAACTAAGGATGCATCTAAGTAAGCAAGGTATAGCTAATTTTGGACATTATCTATGTTTTCAGGTTTGATTTTTTTAACCTATTTTAATTCAATTTAGAATTAAAAACCACTTAAATTTAAACTGTTCAAGTCTAAGCATGTTGCTTGAAGTTTATTTAAAGGCTCTTAAAAACTCTTTAGACACAAATGTGAACTTCCTTTTTAATAGTGACAATAGGATTCATTGGTTATTTCCTATCAATGAGCAATATGTATGTATATAACTTTTTAAATTTCAGATAAGATAAATTTTAATGTTTTTATTCTTCATAAAATATAAATTGTGCCATATTATTCACTTTACTCTTATTTGAAAACATGTTTTTTATGCATATTTAAACCTACCAATTTCATTATTAAATTACTAACAATTAAGTATTCTATTTTTTCCTGGATAGAAATTTGGAGTGCCTAAACCTTCTGCTGAATACTGGTGCAGACTTCAACAAAAAGGACAAATTTGGGAGGTAAGGTGTGATACAGTTCTTCTGTAGAGCCTAATTAATGTTATTTACTCAGTGACTTGCTTGACCTTCTAACTGGCTTCTGAGAATTAACTGAACATTTTAGCATTGTGATCATGATTCATTGCAAGGTTTAAGTAAGTTGATAACTTATAAATATTCATTCCTACCCAGGATCTTCTTCCACCCAAGACCCTGCCACAGCCCCACACTGCCTTCTGGCACTTTATAACTTTACGTTATAAGCACTTCTCTACCTCTTGGTATCATTTCTCCTCCCATAATTATAGCCATGGAAATGTAAAACCCTGTGGTCTCTTCCAGAAACAAGCTAGAGCTCAGTATGTTCTCCTTTCCCCCAAGGCATTCCTTTTTTGTCAGAGTGTGCAATGCCCATGTTGGTTACAGAGCACTAGAGAGAGGGAGGAAATGGCAAATATATATGTAATTTTCCTTTCTCCTCTCCTGTAACTCCCCACATACACAAATACACATACCAGCATATCCACAAACACTCCCTGAGCAGGACCTACAGGAAAGCACCTCTGAAATGACTGAGTCCCTTTGCAGTCACTCAACCAATCCTCATTCTCAGGGTTCAAGCCCAGGCCTCATTGTTGCTAGCATTTGTGGTGGCAATACTTAAAACCACCGTTGTCTGCTATATAATAACCTTCCTATTGACTGAAGTGGTAGAAGAAAGATAAGGGTCTCTTTCCACCTCCCTGCCAGAGTGTTAGAACCATATAAGTAAGAATCAAAGGCAGTTTGAATTGGTTTGAAAAATAGAGGTGGCAATAGGAGCAAAATTGTGTGTGTGAAGAATTTGAGAATTGTATCAAAGTGTATATGACAAAAAAGGGTGGGTGTGTAAGAAGGAAATGTGGTTAGGCCAGTGCAGAAATAAATAGAGTTAACTATGATAGGGAATTAGAAATGCATGTAAGAAAAGAAAAAACTATCTGATCTTATAATTACTTTGAGGGACAGACGGCTCTCATAAGTCTGCTAATGGAAGGAACTAATCACCTGCAAAATCAAAAATCATTTTGGCTTTGGAATGCAAAATTTTTATAGTGAATTTGTTTTTATAATTACACTTTAGTCCATCCTATATTAGTTAATTCATAACACTTGAAGCATTCTATATTACAAATAGAGCTTCAGAAGCAGGTTCTGAGAATAGAAGTTTGAAAGTAATTCAGGGTTAATTACATTTTTTAAAGTACTATTACTATGCTATATCATTATTCAGTAAATAATGTTTTACTGTTTTTTCCCTTGGTAAATGTTTTAAAAAATATATAGCATGAAGATTGGACTAAATTTTATCTTCACTTTTCTGTTTTCTCCTCCCTTTTCTTCTTTTTTAATGAAAAGTCATGGAATCATAGCTTTGCAAACCAAAGACATGGACTCCTAAATGTAGTAACATTCTGTTTCATTTCAGTAACTGGAAAGTAATAGGCTATGAATATTCAGTCTTTAGAAATTAGAACAGTGCTCTAACTCTTCTGAATAGTGAACAATCTTCAAAACTGTAATTTTTGCTTCTAAAATCTGATATTACTTTGTAGCTCTACCATATAGTGGCTATAACTGAGCACTCTTTTTAATGCTCCTATATTTTCTCTTTTATTCTTCTACTGAGACATGAACAGAAGCTGCTACCTCTTACTATGAAGCATTGTTTTCATCAATTTATATAATGTTTTATTGAATTATATAATAAGGATGGGAATACACAGTTTAGTATCAAATAGAACTGACTCTCAATAAATAATAACTTTAATAGTTATTTTTTAGTATAGAGAAAGTTTTGTTAAAATAAAGGTTGCCAAATTTCTGAACAGAATACTGAGGTTGTCTGTAATTCACTCAAAAGATTGGAATTGTAACTTCCAGAGACCATGAAATCATTTAACTGTGTTTTTAATTTCATATTCTTAGAGGTTTTCTGCTGCCTAACTTTTCTCCTCCTCAGCTTTCTGTCCAGCCCTCCAAAAGACTTAGTTTATGGCAGAAATCAATCTCAGGCTCTCTTGTATTGTAACTGCGTGGAGTAAGAAGCGTCCACTGTGTTCTTGTTTACTCCTCTATGCCCCTGACTTTTATTTTTCTTATATTAACTTGGGCGCAAAAGATCTCCACTGCACTATGCTGCTGCCAACTGCAATTACCAGTGCCTGTTTGCTCTTGTGGGATCAGGAGCCAGTGTGAATGACCTTGATGAAAGAGGATGCACACCCCTGCACTATGCAGCTACATCAGACACAGATGGCAAGTAAGTATCATGTGGTGAGAATGAAGGATCGTTGCTCCTGTAGAATCACGTCTGCCATAATGCATGGCTATTTTTATTGCAAATTTATATTTCCTTTTTGAACTTGTTGGTGTTGATTATCTTTCCTTAAGTCTCTAGAGTGGGAAATAAAATGGTTTCATAATTATCCCTTAATTATAGTTATTTTTACCTATTTCAATATAATAATAACCTTCCTATTGACTGAGATGATAGAAGAAAGATAAAGGTCTCTTTCCTCCCCCCTGCCAAATACACATCTTAATATCACCTCCATGTTTTTTTTTCATCTGACTTTTCAAAGGCTACTAGTAGCCTTGAGTATATCATAGGGGAAGGGGAAGAGAAGAGATACATGGGCAATGCTACCAGAAGATTGGGCTGTGAGACTGGAATATCACTATCCTTCAGATCTTAAAGTGTTAGAAGTTCTTAGGTGGTAGGGGAAGAATAGGAGAAATAGTTTCTAATACACTCTGATTTAAATTATGTGCTTAATTGGGATGAGGATACTTAATTTGTCTAATATATTAAATGAAGGTAAATTATAACAATAATTATAGTTTATTACTTAGCTATTTAGTCATAAATAATTCCTCCTGATTTTGCATGCGTAATTTATTTTAGGGGAAGGATTGAGATTGTAGAAGTCTTCATTTTTTAATTTTTTGAGTTTTATAAAATGAGCATATCTTAACTTATAATCAGGAAAAGTAAATTAAAAGATACTCTCTCCCTTCCACCTTATTTGCAAATTAAAAGTGAGGTCCAGATTTTCAAGGTCAAGTAATTTTGTGGTTCAGTATTTTAGAAACACCCAGGTTAAAGTATCACTAACTCATTCACCCTTGTGCTAAAGCATTTAGTAGCATGGAAAGAACACTAGATGAAGAGAAGACCTGAGGTTAGTCCTTGCTTCACCACATTCTAGCCAAAAATATTTGGAACAAGTCATTTAATTATTTTGGGTGTCAGAACTTTTTCCCTTTGTTACAAAGAATGTTTGTCTCACAAAGTAGTTATGAAATTACTTAGGATTTAAAAGCCATGCTAGTAGGAGGAATTCTATCACTATAAATCAACTCTTAGTCTTTGTTTTGTTACAGACCAATCATCCGAGTAGTGTTACTGTAAAAAATTATAGAAATAATGTGTTTTGATAGAAACTACTGCATGTATAACAGTTAAATTGTTTCAAACCATTTAATTCTGAAAACTTGGAACTAGTCACTGAAAATAGTGCTTTGAGACATGCCCCCCCTACTTTAGAAAGTAAACATGAACTTACCTGCTTGTTTTGCTTTCCTTAAATAAATCTTTTTTTTTAGTACTCATGTATCAGCAAGTTATCTTAAAATAGTTCTTTCCTCTGATAGACTGTCTTGTATTCAGGTCTCAGTAAGGAGAACTATTCCCGTTTTATCACTCATATCTAGAGAACTTGAGTAAAGATAAGGTATGCCCTAGGTGAAGTGTTTGTGTCTGTGAGGCAATGAGACTGCTCTCCAGTCCTGCCCATCTTTTCTCCATCTTTGCAGTGAGTGTTGACTTTGGAGCTGGGCACCTAGAAAGACTGTGCAGTTTGCACACTGCCCGGAGCACTTCCTGAAGTGCCCTTACAGCCAGTTTATGAACACCAAGAATCATCAGGCCTGTCAATTAAGAAGTCAGATTGGGGTTTTTAATCATAGTGATACCCAGTTCACAGTGTTTGTTAATAATTTTAGCTGTACATAAATACTAAAATTTCACCTAAAAGAATGAACATTAACTACCATTAAGGATAATTGTGATAGCTATAGATTCTGTAAATAATTTCTAAGATTTAAAGGATTTTAAGCAATTCAGCATTAAACAAATAAGGATTGGCAATGAAAAGAATGCTCCGGGCCCTAGCTGGTTTGGCTCAGTGGATAGAGCATCGACCTGCGGACGCAAGGATCCCAGGTTCGATTCCGGTCAAGGGCATGTACCTTGGTTGCGGGCACATCCCCAGTGGGGAGTGTGCAGGAGGAAGCTAATCGATGTTTCTCTCTCATCGATGTTTCTAACTCTCTATCCCTCTCCCTTCCTCTCTGTAAAAAATCAATAAAATATATTAAGGAAAAAAAAGAATGCTCCGTGTGTGTGTGTGTGTGTGTGTGTGTGTGTGTGTATTTGTGTGTAAATTGGTTTCATAATAGTAGTTATATATATATGATAGTTACTGAAAATCAATTACATTGCTTAAGGATTCCTTCTTATTGGTTTTCATATAACCTCAGTGTGCTTTTGTAAACTTGAATTTTTAAGAAGTATTTGCTTACACATTTTTCCTATATTTAGTCATATTGCAATATTAGACAAATTATTACTGAATAATTATGGACTTGTAATGTGAGCATGAATAGAATTGAGGTTATTTTGTTGGATTCCCACCCCCATTTATCAAATGAATAGACAGAGGCCATCCTATATAATAAAGCAGTAATATGCAAATTGACTGTCATGCCCTCGCACAAGATGGCTGCCCCCATGTGGACCAAGATCACCACTCCAAGATGGCCGGCAGGGGAGGGCAGTTGGGGGCAACCAGGCCAGCAGGGGAGGGCAGTTGGGGGAAATCAGGACGGCAGGGAGGGCAGTTAGGCATCACTCAGGCTGGTAGGGGAGTGATTAGGGGCAATCAGCCAGGCAGGCAGGCGAGCGATTGGGAGCCAGCAGTCCCGGATTGTGAGAGGGATGTCCTACTGCTGGTTTAGGCCCAACTCCACAGGGATCGGGCCTAAACCGGTAGTCAGACATCCCCTGAGGGGTCCCAGATTGGAGAGGGTGCAGGCTGAGCTAAGGGACACCACCACATATACACACACATACACACACACCCTCCCCCCCCACCCCCACCCCCCCCCCGTGCATGAATTTTGTGCACCGGGCCTCTAGTTTCATTATAAAGATGAAGTGATTTACCCAAGATCATTAGTATCAAATCAGCCCTAGAGACAAATCTTTTAATTTCTAATTTAGTACTCTCTCTTTTTTTTTTTTTTGCTATAGTAACAATAAAATTACTAAAATTATAACAGTGTGGATCATATAGTGCCTTTTAAAATTATTTTTCTCATATTTTAATAGCACAGAAATGAAGTATTTCTCCCATGCAAAGGTCTTTCTTGTCACTTGCATACCAGTTTTACACTGTTTACACCCTTCTCAGTCTTCTGATTCAAGATCATTGAATTCTGACTTCCGTTTTGTGAAATGTCCTTGCATCCTTTATTGAGTGTCCTAATGAGATATTGTGCTCACTCTGTGTTCCAGATAGGTGAGCAGTAATATTTGCCAACATAGGATGCTCACCACCACTTAAGACTTCAATCACATCAGATGTTGTGTGAGGGGAGCAGGTGGTCCCACAGGTTGTGACTGTAAAAGACAGCCCTTAGGTGCACTGTGCTTGCTGACAGACTTGGGAGGTATTTGCTTTGAATGAAGAAGATTCTCTTATGAACAGTTAGTTTGTATTTTTATGAAACTTACAGTCAGTGTCATTTAAGTGACTAGGTGTATTTATGATTTTACATTGCTCAGATGTAAGAAAAATGTCTTTTTATTTTTGTCTGTTTTTATCACTAGTTAAAATGCAGGATTCAGAATTTTGAATATGTTATTTCTGCAAATAGGTGCCTAGAATACTTGCTAAGAAATGATGCAAATCCAGGGATCCGGGATAAGCAAGGATACAATGCAGTTCATTATTCAGCTGCTTATGGTCACCGTCTATGTCTTCAGCTGGTAAGATTCCTAAATTCTGTGGAACAACTAATATGAGTTTATATTCTAATAATTTAATGAAGATGATAATAAATGGATCAATAAACAAATTCTGTTGCTTTTAAACATTTTTAGAATCCATATACCTGTCAAATTCATATTTGTCTTAGTCAGCTATCTGTCATTCTCTTTTCCCTTTCAAAAAGAAAGGACAAAATTAGGTCTCTGGACAGGGCTACTTATGTCTTTCCCTTACATTACCTCATATCTATGTAGCATTTACTTCCTCTGTTCCTTTATTTTTTTTTTAATATTTTTATTGATTTCAGAGAGAAAAGGAGAGGGAGAGAGAGATAGAAACATCGATGATGAGAGAGAATCATCGATCAGCTGCCTCCTGCACACCCCCACTAGGGATCAAGCCTGCAACCCAGGCATGTGCCCTTGACCAGAATCGAACTCACAACTGTTCAGTCCGCAGGCCAACACGCTATCCACTGAGCCATGCCTGTTAGGGCTCCTCTGCCCCTTTAAATAAATGTTTTCCAAATGTTTCTAAAGAAATATAACCATGTCTTAAGTGAGAAATAAATGTCCCCATTGGAGGAAGTTCCCCCATATTTAGGGAATTCTGAAAGGCCATTCTTTTAGCAGAAGTAGATGAGAGAGGCTCTACTTCTGCAAAGTAACTTTGTGTTTCAACTATGGTATCCACCATTCACCCCACTTGGTTGAACAAGTTAAAAGATTCTCAGGTGTGTAACAGATGCTTCAAGTTAAAGGTTCTTTATTTAAACTTACCTTATAAATTGTATTAAACATTGTTTCCCTTCAAGTGAAAGTAAAATTCAAGGAGAGTGAGTATAAAAGATAGAAAAAAGGAGTTTGACATATTTGATATAGCATTTAGAACCAGAGGTTACTATGGTATCTTGAGTCTAAAATCTTAAATCCATGTGTCTAGGTTTGTGGTCTATTAGTTTATACATTTGCTTATTTAAAATACTTAATTTTGGAGGAAAGGGAAGCACAGGCTCAGAATGGAATTTTAAAAAGTCCTATGTAAATATAGACCTACTAGAGGCCTGGTGCACAAAAATTTGTGCACTGGGGGGCGGGGGGGTCCCTCAGCCCAGCCTGTGCCCTCTCGCAGTCTGGGACCCCTCGGGGGATGTCCACCTGCTGGCTTAGGCCCGCTCCCCGTGGGGGATCGGGCCTAAGCTGGCAGTCAGACATCCCTCTGGCAGCCCAGGAGCCCTCGGGGGATGTCCACTTGCCAGCGGGGACCAAGTCTAAGCTGCAGTCGGACATCCTTAGCTCTGCTGAGGAGGCGGGAGAGGCTTGTGGCTGAGGAGAGGTCCCCCTGTGGGAGCGCACTGACCACCAGGGGGCAGCTCCTGCATTGAGCATCTGCCCCCTGGTGGTCAGTGTGTGTCATAGTGACCAGTCATTCCCAGTCGTTCTGCTGTTAGGGTCAATTTGCATATTACCCTTTTATTATATGCTTGGTGCATGGGTGGGGGCTGGCTGGTTTGCCCTGAAGCGTGTCCCAGATCAGGGTGGGGGTCCCGCTGGGGTGCCTGGCCAGCCTGGGTGAGGGGCTGAGGGCTGTTTTCAGGTAGGCTACACCCCCTTCAGGGTGGGAGTCCTGCTGGGGGGCCTGGCCAGCCTGGGTGAGGGGCTGATGGCTGTTTGCAGGCTGGCCACGGCCCCAGCCACCCAAGCTCCCAGTGGAGGCTGGCTAGAAGCAGGTATCTGATATTTGTTTATTTTCTATAATTAAAACTTTGTTGCCTTTAGCGGAGGCCACAGCCGGCCAGGGCAGGCGGGAAGCTTGGCTTCCTCCATCGCCAGGGCAACCAAGCCTCCTGCTTGCTCCAGCTCTGTGGCTGCTGGCTGCCATCTTGTTTGGGTTAATTTGCATATAGTTGCTCTGATTGGCTGGTGGGCGTGGCTTTGGGGCGTAATGAAGGTATGGTCAATTTAAATGTTTCTCTTTTATTAGATTAGATAGTTAACATTTATCTCTTTTATATGTAAGAATACTTTCTAAACTAAATACTTTTTATTTAAAATTTTATTTCAGATTGCAAGTGAAACTCCTTTAGATGTTGTAAGTATTATTTCATTTACCCCCTACTATTCAGACTATTATAATTATTTATTTGCTCTCACCAGAACTATAGCCCATTTTACACATTCCTGGGAACAGAGATAGTGACAGAAAACATGTATGCGGTAGGAGGGAGGAAGGGTAGGGGGAGGTTCTTACTTGGTGGTAATTAAATAGCATTTTCCTCAAGCTCTTAGTTTGTAGTCTCCCTCAAAACTCTTAGCCTGTTTCAGGATGATCTATTCTATAAGTTTGCTGAGTTTAGTTTTTATTACATAACTAGAGGCCCAGTGCATGAATTTGTGCACGGGGTGGGGGGCACAGGAGGGACCGCAGGAGGTTGGCTGGCTGGCCGGGAGAGGGACTGTGGGAGGTTGGCCGCTGGCTCTCAGCCCCCTTGGGAATTGCGCCGCATCCGCCACCACCCACCCCCGGTTCCCCGTCCCAGCCCGGGCCCAAGGGCCCTGGCAGAGTCAGGAGAGGAGGCAACGGTCACCGGGCCAGGCGCAGAAGGAACGGACACCAGACACCAATGCCACTGTCATGCCCCACCATCGTGCAGTTCCCCGCCCTCCCCCCCCTTATTTCCCTCGCTGCCATGCTGCCACCACGAGGATGGAAGAGAGAGAAACCCTTGTGTCGAAGGCTGACTTTCAGTAGATCGCAGTGAGGGAATTGCTCTGCTACATATGAAACCCTGACTTAGAAGCAGATCTCTATGAATGGTTTAGCACCAGGAGCCGATGGGGGCCAGCTGGCCAGGGGGAGGGGCTGCAGGAGGTTGGCTGTGGGAGTGCACTCACCACCAGGGGGCAGCTCTTGCATTGAGCGTCTGCCCCCTGGTGGTCAGTGCATGTCATAGCAACTGGTCGACCAGTCGTTCCGGTTGTTTGGCCATGAAGGTCACTTAGGCTTTTATATAAATAGACTAGAAGCCCAGCGCACAAAATTCATGCATGGGTGGGGTCCCTAGGCCTGGCCGGTGATCAGAGCCAATCGGGGCCTTCTGGCTGCCGGCCGGGGCCTTCCTTCATTCCACACCGCCCCCTGGTAGTCATCGCATGTCATAGCAAGCGATCAGTCTCCCAGTAGAATTCCCGTGGGGACAATTTGCACATTAGGCTTTTATATATAGAGAGAGAGAGGGTCTGAGATTTTTACATTTATATTTATGTATAAGTTATACTCTGAAATGGATTTTAACTTGGGGGGAAGGGAGCAGGGATAACTGCTATAGTATATCTAAAAATGTCATTTCTGACATTTAAAATGCTTTTCTTTCTCAGTTAATGGAAACCTCCGGAACAGACATGCTGAGTGATTCAGACAATAGAGCAACAATAAGTCCTTTACACTTGGCTGTGAGTAGTATTGCCTGCACAGCCAACTTGATGGCTGGTTTACTGAAAATGCCTCATGTCTGTGCTGACTCAAACTAGTACCCAGAACTTTTGATCCATGTAATGATGATCATGGAATTAAAACTTTAAGAACTTCCTTATTTAGAGAATTCTTGAATGTACTTTTATGTTTTGTTTTGTTTTGTTTTGAATGTTCTTTGGGTTTCCCCCAAGGCCTAATCTAAGGGAGAGAACATACCTGTGATGTGAATTTAAAACCGCACTGTCGTAGTAGAATGGCTCCTAACTTGCTGAACACGTGGTATAAGAGCTATAATTTCTGTGGTGTTTCTGTAACTTTTGCTTACATTGTGATCTTGGGATGCTGACTGGGTATGTGTTCATTGGTCCTTCGATTGCTCGTGCTATAGGATTTAGCCATGTGCTGTCTCTTTTAGTTTGGGATGCCTCTGAAGTTTTCCTCACTAAGAGGAGAAAGGGGAGAGTGTGACAGTTCTTTAAGTCAAATATGGGAATGAATTACCTTAGGAAATTTCAAGCAGAGCCCAATCTAGTTCTTTCTGTGCTGAAGGAAGAATTTATTTTTGAAATAAACATGTTACAGTTGAGGGAAGAGTGGGAACTTTGAGAATCAGGAGACTTGGGTCTGTCACCAGGTATATTTGTGAGACCGCTGATTTTAAGTATAGTAAAATGGTTACAGTGGTACTACTTAAGCTAATATGGATCACTCCAGGTTCAGTGATCCATTTAATTTGTTCTTCTCACATAGACTGTTATATTCATCCTGATCTCCTTGCATATGTCTTAGCACTGACATGTGCATGTTGACTTTTCTGCTGTGTCTTTCTCCCCACTTCCTTGCCATGTTCTAAATAACTAAGAAGGCATGCTGAAGCTGTCTGCTTCCTTGCCCTTTGGGTCTTTGGAAATATTATCTGCTCTTCAGACTTGCATAGTAAATAAGTCATCCAGAGGACAAAGCCAGCATGGAGAAAATAGCTGTTTTACAGTTGGTGGCAAGAAATGAAGTCTGAGTAGATGACTAGGCAATTCTTCTTGCATCATCGTCATCATTCTTAAAATGATAGCACTGTCATTTCTTGAGCACATATTAGGTGCCAGACTAAGCACTTTGCCACGTCTTGAATAGTTATCTCAAAAACTATAGTTTTTTGTTGTTGTTTTTTTTACTAGTTTTTTATTTTATGGCTAGTGTGAATGGTGCTGCTATGAGCATGTGTGCTAAGTAGTGTTTTAAGCTGGAATGAGAACAATTTTGTAATTTAGTAATTAGACTTAATGAAATGTGGTTATGCCACCACTTCTGCATTTGTATCTACAGTGGGGCCTTGACTTACGAATTTAATTCGTTCCGAGACCGAGCTCGTTAAGGTGCTCGTTAAGGAGCTCGTTAACTCAAATTACTCTGTCAACTCAAAGCAAAAAATCGGCTGAGAGATAGCTGGTATCTCAAAAAACTCGTTAGTTGGGACACTCGTAAGTCAAGGCCCCACTGTATTTCTGGGAGGTTTCAGAAATTACTTGAAGTGGGGTTTTTTCCTTCCAAACTCTTCTAATCTAGGACAGTTTGACAGTTAAAACACAGTGGCTTGAGGCTTAGTGAAATTGGTCTTGGTTCCTGTCTTCACACATACTAGTAAACATACAAGTCTCCAGCCTCTACAAGGACATCATGAAGGAAAAAACCCCTGTGGCAAATCGTCATGGCTCCTAGTCATCCTTTTTTTCTCTCTTCTTTTCTTAACTGTCTTCTGCATAAACCGTGTTTCTCAAAGTCCATTCATTTAGTAGCATAATTTCACTGATCTGGTGAGGAACAAGGTTGGATGTGGTCCTAAAACAGTAAAAGTTCAGTGATTTCCAGTCACTTGAACCTTTGAGATAGTCAGAAACATCAAAGAGATCAGTAAGGCCTAGAGCAGGGGTGGGCAACCCCTGGCATGTGTGCCAAACATGGCACGCCAGTAACTTTTGCTGGCACGCGAAACCCTCTCTTATAATCTTCCATCTACAGTTTTTTTCTTAATATCGACTTTTTTATTTTTCAGATAAATTCAGTGTAGGTGCATCTTAGATAAATACATAATTTTACATAACAAGTTATCTTAAAGACCATAGACATGGATTGATGAGAGAGGGGAAGAGCAATTTCTATGCCTCTGCCTTAACTCTCCCTGCCTTCCTAGATCCGACCAGTGTTTTGGTTTCATCCACATACACTTGTGAATCTTTGTTCTCAGTGATGAATTTTGTTAAGTCTCATAATAGGAGTAGCCTGACGGATGAAAGTAGTAGCTCGTGCATATCTCTGAAGGTCACGAAATATAAACCTGATGTAAAATCTCTGTCATCAGTGATGCAGCAGCAAAAGTCCCACTGATAATATCAAACGGAGTCATAAAGTTTTCTGTTGGACTATCAGTGTACATGTATACATTAAAAAATAAATGTATTTTTCATCATCATATACTGTGTTTTTGTCGCTCGAATGAATTTTATTATTTCTTCAAGGTTCTTCACATACGTACACCTTAAGAGATATCAAGTAGGCGTAACATGTTCTGAAAAAATTAGGGTTGGCACGCAGAAGAATTTTGAGTCAGAGATTTTGCTGGTTTTGGCACGCACTCACGAAAAGGTTGCCCACCCCTGGCCTAGAGCACCTTTACGCTTGCTGGTACTTCCTGACATTTTCCACAATAAATGGCTTTATAGCCCTTTGATGCAGTGTGGGGCCCTCTCTTAGCTGTGTATCTTTTTTCAGATTAGGAGCAAGTGAGATTTAGCTCAGGTATGGTAGAATTTTGTGTTTTTCCATTCCCAGTGAAAAATTCAAAAGTGATAATTTACCCACCTGCTAATCTGTAGGTGTGAATGGCATCAAAAAATAACTTCTGAAAGTCCCTTAACTACAAAGTGGCCGTGTCAGTGAACTAGAGAGAACATTCCTTTGGTGCTAGAACTGTGTCTTGTTACTGCTTTATGTCCTGCTCAGCATCTAGTCCAATGAGAATAATAAATGTTCATTTGACATGTTGGTTTTTTAAATGAATTATCTGGAAAGCCCTTTTATCAGACTATAAAAAAGCAGAGCTTCAGTCTGACAAATTTTTAAATCCTGTTACTCTATTGTACTGCTAGACAATGCCTCGCACATGGCAGTCATTCAAGCAGGGCTCAGTCTAAGTATTTTTGTGCTAAGAGAAACGTTTATTTTTGCGATAGGGCATATTATTCAGTAGAGGGAGGAGTCATTTTAATTTGAGAAATCAGAAAACTCAAGTACTAGCTTAACTTAGTTGCAGGCTGTCTCTGTAATTTAAGTATAGTGAAATTTTATCAGGGAGTTAAGAGAAGACTGAACTGTGACTGAAAAATCAGACATTGGAATCCAAATAGACTTAGAATGAAAGCTTTAATTGAATCCATGTCATATATCCATTCAATGTCTGCCATTAACCGGACATTGTAGTAGACTCATGAAAACATCACATGTCATTTGAATTTTTATTATTTGCAGAATACTCATTTCTTAACACTATAGCCTATTTGGTTGTTTAAAAAGTTATAGTTAACTTTCTGAATTCTTTACTGAAACTTTGGATTATCTCAAATATAGTAATAATGTGAAGACAAGTTTGCTTGCTTCTTTGTTTTCTAAAGTTTCTGGAAAGTCGGTCTAAGTATATATGTATATATGTATGAATGTATTTATTTTTATTCCTAGGCCTATCATGGTCACCATCAAGCACTGGAAGTGTTGGTACAGTCTTTGTTAGATCTTGATGTGCGGAATAGTAGTGGAAGAACACCCTTAGATCTTGCAGCATTTAAGGGCCATGTTGAATGTGTGGATGTACTCATTAATCAGGGAGCCTCAATCCTAGTAAAAGATTACATTTTGAAGAGGACACCTATACATGCAGCAGGTATGTCAAATATTATGCATGGTTTTACTTACCACTTTCCATCTAAGATTCTTTTCTTTTTCAATTTGACTTTTCTGCTTTGTCTTTCTGTCCCTTTCTCCCGCTAGTACTTCCTATTTTTACCATATTCTAAATGGTAAAATCATTGTCTACCTTAGCAATTGGATTTATGTAAGCCTAACCTCTGAAGTACTTTATCAGCAAAACAATGCAATACAGTTTTTACTTTTTAATGGAAGTTATTTCAGATTGATATGTGCTTTTGTTTAACAATTGATAAACATTTTGACTTGCTCTACCAGGGCACTGCATTAAATATCTATGTAGACAGTTATTAAGCACTTACTTTATGCAAAACTACTCCGTGATGCGATTTTATAATGTTGTGGTTGTGTGGAAGTGCAAAAGCATGTAACCGTGTCATTGTGATGACTTGGTATATCTGTGTATCGCTAGCAGATGCAGATTCACAACTCTACAGGGATTACTACAAGGCAGTATTCATTTTATTTTATTTTTAAAATTCTTCATTAATTTTTAGGGGGGGGGGGACATTGATGTGAGAGCAGAACATCGATTCGTTGCCTCCTTCACACTTTCTACTGGGGATAAAGCCTGCAACCTGGGCATGTGCCCTAACTGGGAATCGAACCAGCAACATTTTGGTGCATGGCATGATTCCCAACCAAATGAGTCACACCAGGCAGAGCAAGGCATTTTAAATAACCAAGACTGGTACACTTAAAGAAATCCTAGCCAAGTATTTTTCTCATCCCCGATAGGCCATCTCTATATGATTAAAGTCATTTCACTTAGTTTTTATAGAGTGATCCTTAAGGACGTATTTGAATATTGAAATTTTGCTTCTAGTCTTTTGAGAAACCTGCATTTTAGAAGACCATAGGTAAAACTACCTGTTGCTCTAGAGCAGCCTTTCAGAAGCTATCAGATATTCATGCAGGGCTCAAAGGCAGAAGTTTTAATAATGGATTAAAACTCAATAAATGTATGAATATAAACAGCTAAGAGGTCAAAATGCTATCATTTTCTATTATTCCGAAAAAGAGGGAGACTATATATATATATATATATATATCATTCTGCAACTTGAAAAATTATCAGTACATCTCATTTGCAGTTAATTTAAATCTTTCATGGAGTGTTTGCACTCTTAATAGGTAAAGATTGAACCAAGACATTAGCCTGTCCCTCACAGTGTCCTGAACTCTGAGTCCCAGCCACTGAAAGAGCTACAGCTATAGGTTACTGTTAATACCTTTTTTCAGTAAATGGAAGCCTTTGCTCTGTAGATGCCTTTCACATTTGGAGATCTGCTTGTTAAGGGAGCACCTTACTCATGAATCGTGAAAGGACGTTGAGTATTTTTTGTTTTTTCCTGGAGGTGAATTGTAATTCTTTTTAGTGCCAAACTAAAAGGTAGCTCAAGTGACAGTGTTTTGTTTCATAAAATGTCAGGGCTAGTGTCAGCAGTGGTGTCAGAACTCTGAAAGATTCTCTCTTACCCTCTTGCCTTTGCTCTCATGTCGGAGAATGGCAGCTGCTGCTTTATAAGATCACATCTAAAATCAGGAAGGAAGGAGGGCTTTTCATTATCCAGAATAAAAATGTTTCCCAGAAGCCCTCTAGATTTCTTAGCATCTCATTGGTTAGAGCTGGACCGGTACTCACCTTGAAACCAATCACTGGCAAAGGAAAAGAAGTTATTGTGATTGACTTGGTCTAATGATTTCACCCCTTGGCTGGAGGCAGTCCACCCTCCCTGACCACATTGCCACCATAAGAGCTCTAAATAAATTGATCATTCTATTAGGGCAGATAATGAGGTATGGGTAAGGCTGTGATTTTTATATGAAGAATTTATATCCTGTTTAATCAACAAAAGCAATAGAGACCTTCTTTGTATCTACAGATATTTTTCTTTCTTGCCTATTACATTCAATAAACTATCCCAAAATTATATCTAGGAAGTGTGCTCTAAGATGGACATTTTCTATTTTATTATTACACTAGAAGCCCCGTGCACGAAATTCGTGCACTGGGGGGTGGGGGTTCCCGCAGCCCAGCCTGCCCCTCTCAGAGTCCGGGAGCCCTCAGTGGATGTCCTACTGATGGCCACAGTCTGGCAGCAGAGGCTCAGAGCAGGTGTCCCGTGTGTGTGTGTGTGTGTGTGTGTCTGCTGGGGCCTGCCCCCAGCCGCGCCACATAGGCTCGAAGCAGTTGCCGTGTGTGTGTGTATGTGTGTGTGTGTGTGTGTGTGTGTCCCCACTGGGGGTCTACCCCCAGCCACATTGGAGACTCAGAGCAGGCACTGTGTGTGTGTGTGTGTGTGTCTGCTGGGGGCCTGCCCCCAGCCACACCATGGAGGCTTGGAGCAGGAGCCCCTCTGTGTTGATCTCTCAGGCTCCTGGCCTCCACTGCATGTTGTACTCTCCCTTGAGCTATGGCCAGAATGGGGGTGCTGCTTGCAAGCCGGGCTTTCCTGCTCCCGGATCCCCATGGCGACTGGGGAGCAGGCCCAGCTGAGGGCTGCCCACAGACTGGGCTTTCCTGCTCCTGGATCAGGCCCAGCTTGGGGCTGCCCGCAGGCCGGGCTTTCCTGCTCCCTGATCAGGCTCAGCTGGAGGCTGCCTACAGGCCGCACTTTTCTACTTACCGATGGCTGGATCACCACAGTGACCCAGGGCCCAGCGGCACTTTCCTGCTCTCCAATAGTCATAGGGTCCCGGCTGGGGGCGGGGCTTAGTAGTGCGGGGCTTAGGCGGCACGGGGGTCCCAGCTGGGGGCTCAGGTGGCACATAGGGGTCCCAGCTGGGGGCGGTGCTTATGCCCCACTGCCCAGGGCTGCACATGGGGCCCGAATGGCAGCTCGCGCTGTCCCGCCCTGCCTGTAGTATAGGATAGAGGCCTGGTGCACAGGTGGGGGCCGGCTGGTTTGCCCTGAAGGGTGTCCCGGATCAGGGTGGGGGTCCCACTTGGGTGCCTGGCCAGCCTGAATGACGGGCTCATGGCTGTTTCTAGGCTGCCCGCACCCCCTTTGGTGTGGGGGTCCCCACTGGGGTGCCTGGCCAGTCTGGATGAGGGGCTGAGGGCCGTTTTCAGGCTGGCAGGTAACTGAAGCTCCCAGCCTCTCCTTTTTTTCTTTTTTTTTTATTCTGGGATTTATTTACTTTCTATGGCTGTCACTGGAGCTGAGAGCCGGCTTTAGCTCTGAGGCCGGCTCCAGCTTGAGGCCTCGGCTGCTGAAAGCAGATATCTGGGCTTTGTTTAGCTTCTATAATTGAAACTCTGTTGCCATCACTGCCGCTCTAAGCTCTGAGCCCGCTGCCGGCTGAAAGCAGGTTTCTGGAGCTTGTTTAGCTTCTATAATTGCAACATTGTTGTATCTGGAGCTCAGAGCTGGGCTGCCGCAGGCCGGGAACCTTGGCTTCCTCCGTCAGTGGAGCAAGCAAGCCTCCTGTTCGCTTTAGCTGCCTGGCTGCCGGCCGCCATCTTGGTTGGCTGTTAATTTGCATATCCTGCTGATTAGCCCATGGGAAGTGTTCAGGGGTATGGTCAATTTGCATGTTTCTCTTTTATTAGATAGGATATAATTACTGAAATGTTTAATTATCACTTTACAGCAACAAATGGTCATTCAGAATGCTTACGACTACTAATAGGAAATGCAGAACCACAGAATGCTGTAGACATTCAAGATGGAAATGGACAGTAAGTTTTAATAATGTTCAAATTATTTTTAGGATGTTTGTTAATCTTTATGCTTTTGCCCCTATTTTAGTAAGCCTGTCATAATATGTAACTGAGTAACATCAAATATAGTTTTTTAAATTAACTATGCTTTAAAGTTGCATCACGAAAAGGCACGTTTAGAAAACAGGCATGTGCGCTGTTTTTCATGGAGTGGAGTCCTAACTGGTAACACTGAACCTGTTCCTATTGTTGCTCAGGACTCCTCTGATGCTGTCTGTTCTCAATGGGCACACAGACTGTGTTTACTCACTGCTAAACAAAGGAGCAAACGTAGATGCCAAAGATAAGTGGGGAAGGACAGCATTGCATAGAGGGGTAAGCAAAAATAATCCCATTTCATTTCGAATTGTTTTTATAATCTCATTTTGCCTAAACTGAACTAGGCTGTTTATTTTTCATCATTAAATTTTTACCAAATAATCTTTACTCTTTTCCTTCAGTATTGTTTTTGAATGCTAATTTATCACAACTATTTTCTTAAACATTTCTACCTTAACTTTTTCACCTTGAAACGTCATTATTTTTATTGAATTATAAGTTCCTCTTCCTGTTTTTCATGCTATTTAAATCATGATAAAGTTACTGCTTTAACTGACTCTTTAAGTCACTTCCAGTAAAAATACTGAGTTATTCAAAAATGATAAATGCATTGTGAAAGGATATGAGGAATATGGACTTTAAAAATATGAAATGTAAAAATTTTAATTAGCTATAATTGGCATGTAATACCCAACATAATATATTCAACTATATGCAAACAATCTTTCTTTCAGGCAGTTACAGGCCATGAAGAATGTGTAGATGCATTGCTTCAACATGGTGCTAAGTGCTTATTTCGGGATAGTAGAGGGCGGACACCTATCCACTTGTCAGCTGCCTGTGGACACATTGGTGTTCTGGGAGCCCTTTTGCACTCAGCAGCATCTGTGGATGCAAATCCAGCCATAGCCGACAATCATGGATATACAGCACTTCACTGGGCTTGCTATAACGGTTAAGTATACAGATACAAACTTACATTAAATGCCTGTTATGTGCCAAACAGGGACAGCTAACTAGCATTTGAGATTCCTGAAAATGACATATTTATAAGGAAGATTTAAAGTTTAAGATAAGTAGGAAGCCTAGGAACAATTTACTATGTAGTCATAACGTACTCCAGCTCCTTATTTTGTTAAAGCCAAGACAGTAATGGTCAAAGATGTTTTGACATAAGCTATCGCCAAGTTTGAAATTTTTCTGAGACCTTTGCTTCAGGTATTTGCATTTTAAGATACTTTTATAATATTATTTCCAGTGTCTTTTATGTAGTATGCTTGTATTTTAATTATGTTCTTTTACTTTCTAAATGTACTTATTTTAGGGAAAAACTGACTAAGGTAGGAGAAAAATGAAAATGCATCACATTCTAAACTGAAATTGTGTATTTTTGTGAGCATATTCTTAACATCCTCACATCAACAGTACATGTATGCTCAAAATTTTAAGGGAATAAAATTCTAGCAGATCATAGAAGTAGAACCTTTCATGGTTAACTTAACTTTGATGCATGGTTAGAACAGACTTACCTTTAACTTTCAAGGGACTAACAGTCTCAGTTAGTCCTTTTACAGGCAGGCTAATTAAAGGTTCTCAGAGAAGGATAAAGCAATTTTTTAAGTTATAGATGTTTAAAATAGAGTTTAGCTTGTGAGTTTTCACTAATTAAAATAATGTAAGTAATGAAGCATATTGAGACGTGTTAATTTTTTCCTTGTGTAGGGGCATATATTTGACCATCTTAGAAAACACTCAGGTACATTGTGTGCAGTAGGAACATAAATCGTGTCAGAGTTTGGGCTTAGGCAGATTGGGGCGTGAATTTCAGTGTACCGGTAGCATTCAGATTAAAGTTAGCTGTGAGAGTGTATCTACAAAACTATTTCACAGTTCTAACAACTTTTTCTCAAAAGGTAGAGAAAATATAAATTTCCTCTTTATGTAATGTTAACATGATGAAAGAAGAGAAGTCTGAATCTTGCAAAATTCTAGTTTGTTTTCATAAGCATCTTCTAGATACAATATTTTGGTTTTCATATTAACAATTCTTGTGTGAGAATTCTATTCTTTTACTATGAGAAAGTTTTGGTCTCTTCTTGAGGATTATTCTGTGATGACCATTGGTCATCCTTCAATTCTGAGTACTGATGGCACCATAAAAAAAACTTAAATAATTAAATGTATTGCTAGTTGAAAAGTTTTGTCAGTTTCATTTTCTACTACCTTCGATCCTTAGCCAGCACAGCTTGGAATCCTATAAAGCCTTTGGGTTTCAACCTCTCTTTTTCCCTTTTCAACTTACTAAAGTTGGTATTTCATGAGTATAGTGAAGTAACCAAAGATTAGTCTTAAGTCAAAGAAGTTACTATATTTTGCCATTGAAATTTGATTTGTTTTTATAATGTATCTTGAAGATACTTTACAAGTATAAGGAAAACCAAAAACGTAATATGGTAGTAAAACATCTGCAGATGTGAAATTTATTTATTTAAGAAGTCTGAGATAAAACTAGTCTGAAGCAGACGTTTATTGCTTTTTTTTATGTATCAGTGAGAATTAACATTGGAAGAACCACAAAATAAGGTATTTTTCCTCAGATAAAGAACATTTAGTTATAAATAAATTGCTGTAACTGTTTTTTGGGGAGTTGCTATCCATAATAATATGCAGGTCTTTATGCAAAACACTGTTTCCTTAAAGTGAGTTTCTACTCTATCACTACTGAATTTAGACTCTCTAAGCCAGCGGTTCTCAACCTGTGGGTCGCGACCCCTGAAAATACATCCTGCATATTAGATATTTACATTACAATTCATAACAGTAGCAAAATTACAGTTATGAAGTAGCAACGAAAATAATTTGATGATTGGGGGTCACCACAACATGAGGAACTGTATTAAAGGGTTGCGGCATTAGGAAGGTTGAGAACCACTGCAAGCACTTGTGTACCAGTGTAAGAGAAAATTTTGCATGAACTACTTGCCTGGTTGCCATTTAAAGATCGTAACAGATGTGTCTAATTTCCAGACTGTAGCAAGATTGTGATGTTTCTGAATTGAGCTGGAAGACATTAGTGTTGGCTATATGCAATAAGAGACTATAATACAGCCTAAAATTAATACCATATTTATAGCCAAATGCCTGTTTTGTAATTTGGCATTCTGAGAATAGAGTGTATGAAATGGTTTTACTTTGACTGGTAATTATTGTACAGCTGAAAAGAAAATTGGAAGCACTCCCCACTCCAACAGAACAGAAAACATTGTTTCCTTCAAAATTGAAATGGAATGGCAGCAAAGTTTTATAAAAGAACTGGTTATACATACTACACTTTAAAGTTCAGATTTTCAATTTATGTAGTCATTTTAATCACAGAACTTAAGAGAATTTACATTATCTCATTTTCTCTTAAAAATGTATCAATTTTTATGAAACTGAACATCCTCAGAATATCCCTCAGAAATATGAAGAAATCAATTTTATCATTCCTTCGTAAACTAAGGCACAAGTGATGAGTTTTTCAACTTGATATGACCCAGTACTAATGTATTTTAAAATAATAAATATATTGCATATTAATAACATTTTTATGAAAAAATAACTATTTACCAAAACAAACAACAAAAATTTAGTGAGAAGAGTGGAAAGCTTTTTTAGTGGCTAGTTTAAGAAAAGACTAATTTGGAATCAACCCAGACTTCCCCAGACCAACCTTGAGAACTGGTATACCAGGAAAATAAGACTCTTAAATCAATACTGGACAACTTTCTATGGTTAATGTTTTGTAATGAGTTAACATTTGGAGAGAGAGAATTAAAGTAGAGTTTCTCAATCTCAGCATTGCTCACATTTTGGGCCAAATAATTCTTTGTTGTGAGAGACTGTCACATGCAGTGTAAGATATTCAGCAGCCTCCCTGGCTTCTACCGCCCTAAATGCCAGTAGCATCCCTTACCCCATCTCCAGGTGTGATAGCCAAATAGATCTCCAGACATGGAGGGGCAAATGGCTCCAGGTGAGAACCATTGGATTAGAGAAAAGAACCAACACAGTTAAAAGTTTTCAAGAACTTTCTTTTCGTGGTAAAAATGATTATAGGATAAAGAAAGTTGAGCTGTTTGAGAATGTTAGAGTAATTTAAAAAGAAAAATTTAGTATTACTATGTTAGCCAGATATTAACCAAGGAAATAAAAAGGCGATGGAAGAATATAATTTATTCCTAAATCAGATACCAGATGACTAATAAAATAAAAGAAGCAACAAATGTTCATTTCATTTGCAGCAATTAGTACAGCAATTATGGTAATTTCCTAAAACCCTGGCTTTGAAAATTAGGTTAAGGTTTGGGTTTTTCCTTGTTTCCAAAGTTGCTATTAAGTAAGAAACAAGTTGCAGAACTAAACATCCCATTTATGTAAAAATTAAAAAGGATGTATGTGTTAGTGTGCATGCAGTAGTATATGCCTAGAGAGTTTCTGGAACTGTTAAGGTAACAGTGACTACAGTCTATCCCAGTGATGGCGAACCTATGACACGCGTGTCAGAGGTGACACGCGAACTCATTTTTTTGGTTGATTTTTCTTTTTTAAATGGCATTTAAATATATAAAATAAATATCAAAAATATAAGTCTTTGTTTTACTATGGTTGCAAATATCAAAAAATTTCTATATGTGACACGGCACCAGAGTTAAGTTAGGGTTTTTCAAAATGCTGACACGCCGAGCTCAAAAGGTTCGCCATCACTGGTCTAGAGACTGAACTGGAAGAAATCTCCCCCCACAGACAAAATAAATACTTGCTGTGTCAGTAATAAACTCCAATAAAATTATTACAAAAAGCTACTGTACTTAGGTCTTGAGGTTGTACTTTGAATTCCAAAGCTCCTAAAAATGTGATGTTTAACAGGTTCAGTGGACTGTTTATTTTTAATCCATGTAAATTTTTTTCTTATTTGTGTGAGGATGTGTGGGTGTATGTGGGCACATTAGTATTTTAGGGAGATTTTAATATCTGATTCTTGCTTATTTATTTAGGTCACGAGACATGTGTAGAACTTCTTTTAGAACAGGACGTTTTCCAGAAGATAGAAGGAAATGCTTTCAGTCCATTGCATTGTGCTGTGTAAGTAAAAACAGAATGAATCAAACGTGGTTTGGCTAAGAAATACACCGTAGCTGTGAGAGTGATCACCTCCTTACCTTACACAGGATAAATGACAACGAAGGTGCTGCTGAAATGCTCATTGATACATTGGGTGCCAGCATCGTGAATGCCACAGATTCAAAAGGAAGGTAGGGATTCAGCTGTGTAGGAAATTGTTTTACTTTCCATAGGAGAAAAAAAAATTTAGTTACAACATTAGCTAAATTATTAAGTTGATTTTTATATTTGCAACTATGAAGTGCTATAAAATCTTAATTATGTTCTCATTGTAGAAGACATTTTTATTATGATTTTTAGCCCGTCTTTTTCTTTTTTAAAACTTGTAATATGTAAAGATTTCCCCCTTTTTTTAAAGAGGTATGTTTGTTACCCAACGAATATTGTTAGTAAAGTTGACATCTTTCTATATAGAAATAAAGGCTGGAAGAGAGTCCAACAGTTGTAATAGATGGCAGTATTTGAGTCAGGGTTGATTTATTTCAATATATCTTTTAATGATACAACATTATTATAGCAATTTTATAATGTATTCTTATTTATATTAGTTTGATTAAGGGTATTTTATGTTATCAGAAATAAATTTTTGTGGCAGAAGTTAGTCCTCTTAGTATCTAGGCAATGCTTTTACAGCATAATCTGTAAACCCTTGAAAATTACTTGTCATAAATTAAGGAATTGTTTTTTGGTTTTTTTTAGTATATGGCATGTAGATTTAGTCAAGTCTCTCCACTTCTCTGCATTGCAGAACTCCTCTCCATGCAGCCGCCTTTACAGACCATGTGGAATGTTTACAGCTGTTGCTCAGCCATAATGCTCAAGTCAATTCTGTGGACTCTTCTGGGAAAACACCTCTCATGATGGCTGCAGAAAACGGACAAACAAACACAGTTGGTAAAGAAACTGGTTAAGGCTTTTATTATTCTAAATATTTATATTGCTTATGTAGAACTTCAATCCTAAGCCCTCTGACACTAGTTCATAGAATTTTCCACTAGTTAGTTACCCCACCACTCCTGAGATTTAAAACCTTTTACCTGCTTACAACACACATTTTTATTCAGGGCCCAAATGTTTTCTTTCGCCCTTACTGAGTGAATAGTCCGCTCCCAGCGAGGCAGTATAAGATAAGGGTTCAGAAACTGGCTAGGGGGCCAGAGTGACCGAATGTGAGTCCTCGGTCTGCCAACTAAGTGACCTTATGCCTTCGTTTTTTAATTTATAAAGTGAGAAAAATAACAGTACCTACTTTATAGGGTTGTTGTGAGAGTTAAATAAGGTATTATTATTCCAGAGCACTTAGAACAGTATTTGAAATTTAGCACTCACAAAATAAATGTTAGTTGCTGTTGTTAGGGTCTTTGACTTACACAACAGCAAGACAATATAGTATGTATGTTTTATATTACAATATTTTTCTTGTACTTACGTTTTTGCTAGCGGTATGTTTTTGCTTTGTATCTTCATTTCTCTACAGTGAGTTAGTAGTGATCTAAGGTATATGTTCATAAACATAAGAATTGATGCAGTTTTTCCTCCCAGAGATGCTGGTTAGCAGTGCTAGTGCAGATCTGACTTTACAAGACAACAGTAAAAACACCGCCCTCCATTTGGCTTGCAGCAAGGTATGTACACATTTTAAGGGCATGTTTTCATTGTTAATATCAACAGTAGCATTTAAAATTTTTCCATTTCACCAAAATGAACAGAGTCAGGGACCAAACCTCTCAAATGATCATTTGCAACAGATTTCTTGAAAAAAAGTACTGACATGTTAGGCACCATGGTGTATGAAAGTCTCCAGTAAGCCAAACAAGTTTTAGAGCACAAGCCTAAACATAATTATTGTCTTTCTTTAACCTTTCTAATCTTAAATATTCTTGTCCTCTCCCCCAACCTCATTCCATCAACACTTTTGGACAAATATTTAAGGTGTTAACCAAGAAAACTCATGGCATATGTATTATATGGACCAGGGTTGGGTGTATTGAGTGAATTAATTTATATTTAATGGTACCCAAATTCTTAAGAGTTATTTTCCATAATTTTAGGGTCATGAAACTAGTGCCTTGTTAATACTGGAAAAGATAACAGATAGAAACCTCATCAATGCAACCAATGCAGCCTTGCAAACGTAAGTATTTTGCGTCTCGTATAAACCTTATTACCTATCATTGTAAATGGGGTATTTTTCTAACATGGGGCCATTGGAATCAGTCACAATCAGCTTATAATTGACAAAACTCATTTCTATAATCATAACAATTAAAAGGTATATTACTGAAAAAGCTTTTGAACTTGAAACTTTATTATTGAAAGTAATGTTTTTTCTTAATTCAATTTTATGGAGGAAATGGAAACCCCCCTAGAATAATACATTATTCAACACCAGCACTAAATGAGGTAAAAAGTTTTCTATGTGTGTATAAGCTAAAGAGATTTCAGAAAGAATCAAGTTCTTAATGTGAGTAGTCAGCCTCTAGGTGACTGCTTAGATCTTAACTGGACATCTCCCATTGTCCTCTCCCAATTTCCATTGGCTATTCTACTCTGAGGCTTGGTATAGAGAAAAATCTATGATACTCATTCCCATTCATGTAGCAATTAGATCCTTTGAGGGTCCAAAAATTAGTCATGGAATCTGTAAACTGTTTTCAAGGCGTATTGGAATTTGTGCTATTGCAATTTATGGTTTTTATTGTATAGTCTATTATACCTGTTTGCCAACCTCATTTTTTAAAGCAACAACTTAAAATGCAATTTAGTTAGTAAAATCTTTTTAAACATTAGTCTTAGAAGGAAACTAACAAAAGCGTTTAGTGAAGACAAGATCCTTGCTAACATGACCCAGTGCTGAACTTACGCGTATTGTCAAGGTGCACGGCACATGGGCTCTGCTGTCCCTCACATCCATCTTCATTGCTGCTGGGACTGGGTGCCTCAAGTTTATAATGTGTGTGTTGTTTGTGTGCAAGTGTGCGTAGGCATGCACATATATACATGTACAATTTCTCTCCCCCCCACCCCCACCCCCAGACCTCTGCATGTTGCTGCCCGAAATGGGCTAACAATGGTGGTTCAGGAACTTTTGGGCAAAGGAGCAAGTGTGCTTGCAGTAGATGAAAATGGTAAGTAGATTCTGCATTTTCTTTACTTAACCTATATCTTACTAGGAGCTCTTATCTTTTTTTTTTATTATTGATTTTTCACAAAGAGGATGGGAGAGGGATAGAGAGTTAGAAACATCGATGAGAGAGAAACATCGATCAGCTGCCTCCTGCACACCTCCTACTGGGGATGTGCCCGCAACCAAGGTACATGCCCTTAGCCGGAATCGAACCTGGGACCTTTCAGTCCGCAGGCCGATGCTCTATCCACTGAGCCAAACCGGTTAGGGCAGAGCTCTTATCTTTTGATAATCCATATTTGAAGTAAACTTGGATATTTTTTATTAGTCAAAGAGGAGAGCTGAAATTAATATTGAATGGTAGTTACTTTGTGGCAAAGGAAATAAGGGCAAGACAAACAAGAAAAGTTCATCTAACAGATTAGCTGAATTTCACATATCCATCAATTAAACCAGAATTAGTGTTTATTAACTTTGGTTTGGTATTACCATCTTTTTTATCTTAGTATTGAAAAAATTTGTCAACAAATATTTATCAAGGCTATTACTTCATTGCCAGGTTCTTAATCTTTCATTAATCCCACTACTTCTACCAGCTACTGCCATATATCTCTGTCCCTCTTTGCAGCAGAATTACTCAAGTTGGCTGTCCTCTGTTTCCAATGCTTCTCTTCTTTCATTCTTTCTTAAATCTCCTCCAGTCAAGATCACCAGTGATCCCCACGATGTTGAGAATCAGTTGTTAGTTCTCATTTAACTTGATGTATCAAGTTTTAACTGGGGATGTGAAAGTTGCAGTCTTGCATAGCAAGTGTCCAATATTTTTCCCAAATAATCTTCATGTTTTCTTTTATGCTGCTCACTGCTAATCGGATAAGTTGGTGCAGATCACTTTAGGACAGGATAAGAGGGAGAGTCATAGTGAGTATCTGTGATTTGATTACAGTTCCCTTATTTAGGTGAACACTCCATTCACACATACTACTTCTTTGAATTCATAACAGGTTAAGGGTTTGTAACTCACTATTTGGGTGGTTAGATTAATTAACCAAATTCACTGGAACTGAAAATTGTTTGTTTCTTATTCTATTTTTTTTTATTGAGGTACACTTGACATGCAACATGATATCAATTTCAGGTATATTCTTTCTCTGATAAACTTCCTTCATTTGTCTTTCAGGCCTCCAGACTTTCTTGGTTTTCCTCTGTGTTACTAATTATTCTTCTTAATTTGTTTTGCAACCTTTCTCCCTCTTCTGTACAACTCTTTAATTTTGGTAGGCTCTAGGACTCAATGCTTGGTTCTTTTTGTTTCCCTACCTGTATTCACTCCTTCGGTGATCTCATTTAGTCCCTTGGTCCTAAATACTACCTGTGCTGAGAAGTCCTAAATTTATATCTCCAGCCCAGACTTCTCATGATCTCCATATTCACAGATCCAGTGGCCTAATTGACAGTACCACATGGAGGTCTAATAAACAACTCAAACATGACATGTCCATAACTGAACTGCAGATCCTTTCTCTCCTCCCCCTGCTGTCCTGATCTCAGTTGATGACAATTCCCATCCTTATAGTTGCTCGGAGCAATAACCTGGAGTATTCCTTACCTCCTCTCTCTCTCTCACCCAATGTACAATCCATCAACAAAGTATGTCCATGCTCACTTTATACTTCTCTACGCCTACCACCCTGGCCTGGATCCTTTTAAAAAATGTTAGAAGATATTCCTCCAAATCTCAGTTTCCTTATAATCCTTATAATGATCTACAAGGCCCTACATGATTGGTTTGCTACTCTGTTCCTCTCTAATCTTATCTCCAGCTCTTCCTTCTCTCTATTCTGCCATGCCAGCCCCTTCTCCCCACGGATGTATAGGGGTCATGATCTTTGTTCTGGCTGTTTCCTCTGCCTGGAACACTCTGTCCCTAAGCAGTCTTTGGCTGAATCCTTCACCTGTTTCAACTCTTAGCTCAAATGTCACCTTCTCAATGAAGCCTATCATGACTACCCTATTTGTACTACATCTGCTGCATACCCCCACCACAGCTTTCTCAGTCCTCAGTCTTATTTCCGCAGAGCTTATCTTCTAACAGCGATTTTCAACTGGTGTGCCCCAAGAATATTTAAAACATGCAATACTTGACTATTTAGTCAGGGGCACTGACCTCTTTTCCCTTAGATTGTCAAATAAAAAAATGACGACAGCCAACACAACAATAGCCATCCAGTGTGAATGAATCAAAATTATAACTATAGTTTCTTGTCAGATCAGCCAAAATATATATTTTTGGTGTGCCATAGAATTTTAGTAATTCATTTGTGTGTGCCTTGAGATGAAAAAGGTTGAAAATTGCTGTTCTAACATATCGTTTACTTTTGTAAATGATAGTTTACTTTTTTTATGTCAATTGTGTGTCTACTCTATCCCAATATCTTCTATGAATTCAGATGGCTGTGGATACATTGTGATATCTTGGGGGAATCATCCATCCCTGGGCCTCAGTTTCCTCTTCTATAATGTAGTCTATAAAGTCTTCTGCCCTAGATTTCTATGACTTTTCTACATATTGGTAATTTCTGAATCATTTTAATGAAACCAATTCAGTATAAGACAAGTAATTGAAAACATATCTAAAGATGAAGGCCTTTAGGCTTATTTCCTTATATTAGCTAAGTGAGTCTCGGGATGTTTAACTTTTTTAAATCTTATCTTTAATTCTAGGCTATACCCCAGCTTTGGCCTGTGCTCCCAATAAGGATGTGGCTGATTGCCTAGCTCTCATTTTGGCCACCATGATGCCTGTCTCATCAAGTAGCCCTTTATCATCCCTGTCATTCAATGCCATTAATCGTTACACCAACACCTCAAAAGCAGTCAGCTTTGAAGCCTTGCCTATCATGAGGAATGAACCTAGCTCCTATTGCAGTTTCAACAACATTAGCGGGGAGCCGGAGTACTTATACGCCGACGTGGACGAGCTCAATGACTCCGATTCAGAGACCTACTGAGAGGCTCAGCCGTGTCTAAGGAGAGAGTTCTGACACTAACACTTCAAACTGTGCTTTTCAGGAAAAGGGCACTTTCTTATTCACATACAAACTCAACCTAAGAGGAAAGATCGCAGAGTGAGTGAATATAAGAAATGTGACGACATTAGGAAGAAGACTTTTAAAGGCAAGTTTTGCAAAAGGAGCCTAGAGTCTTGAAATAGACTTGACCAGAGGAAAATACTTTGGTGTCAGATTGCTTTGTGGAATTGTTTAATTTGGTTTTGCAGTGCCAGGAATAATTTGGGACACTGTGCACCCTAATCTGCTTACACAAGCAACACTATTATAAAAGAAGAGATAAGGACACTAGATTTAAATGTTATCAATAGAACTACAATTAAATTTAAGGGCAATAAAAGTTTGGTACAGTAGGCATTATGTGCACAGCAATTGCCAAAGGACCAAATAACTTAAAGGCTTTCTAGTAGAATGCCATTTGGTGGAAACTGGAGTAGGTGAAATGAAACATTATCTAAACCAAACTTTGATATTCTGAAAATGAAGCTGAGATTTGGTTTTAAATGTTGATTTTATTTTATTTTTTTTTTTAGAGAAAACATCTGAAAGCCTTTGAACCCTGTATAAACCATGAGAGAAAGCAGATGTATTTTTACATTTTTTCTTTTACATAAAATTTTTAAAATTCCAAGTTTTATAATATTAGAATTGAAAACCAGCTGACTGGGTGCAGTCAGGGTGAAAATACTTGTGATGCAGACATGAGATAGATTGGGGTCAAGTTACTGTTGCCCAGTTTTGAATGGTTTAGGTTTTAAATTGAACTATTTTTGTTTGAAAATGTAAAGAATTTCCTAGAAGAAAATTTCAGAAAATCCAAAATTAGGTTATTTTCACCCTATTGCAGCTAAGTGGTCCTGGGGGAGTTTTTGATCTCACTACTTTGGATGGTACACCTTCATCACTTGCTACTTTTGTGCCTCCATGTGGTTCGGGGAGTGTTTGTTGTCATTGTTTAGTGGAGAATCAAATCACTTGTTATTGATACATTAACATCATTAGGTCTCTCAGAAGTCATTTGCATATTGGGCAAGATTTAAAATACTAAAATCCTTAGGTCCTATTCAGATTTGTGGGAAAGAAGCAATTGCCTGCCAAATTGGAAAACTGCCTTTCAAATAACAGAGAGAGAGGGTGGAGGAAGAGAGGGCTGACATTTAGGCTTTTAAACAACAATTTACATGGTTCTGCGTTTACTGTAACTGTTGCTTTCCCAGTGAGAATGATTTCACACATGTAGGGGGTCTTACAGGTCTGGGTAAAGTTCCATACATTTTCACAAGATGATACCCAATTTCATTTATCTTTTTTGTATTGTAAAACTGGAAACTTTATGACACTGTAAATTATCAGCTGGTTTTTCTGAATATGAAGTGTGAAAACACAGAACAGTATTTTGATCTATTTGATAATTTTGTGGGGTTTTTGAAGAATTAATGAGCATGTACATAGAAATAGTGACTGCTTGAATACTGTACTTACTTGCACTCTTTCAGTACATCGAGATTCCTGTATATTTTAGAGTATAATAAAACACAGATGTGAGTTGTATTTAATGAATAATGTATTTGTATCTGTGCATATGACCTAAAAATCTATAAAATTTCTAGGGCATTGACTACTAGATTTTAAGCATTTTTTCTAAAATATTTACAGAAATTATAAATGTAATCTTCCATCTTTTCTTTATAATATAAAAAAGTCATAAAGGACCCTTCCTAATTATTAGTGGTAGGAAGGTGAATATGCATTTTAAAGACAGCAGACTACATTTTCTATTGTACCTTTTGAAAAAAGAAAAAAAAAAAACTCAAGAGGATTCTAAAAGTATACATATGTGTGCTTTCTCTTTCCTTTTAGGAATTCTCTTCTGAATTCCCTGAGGGAATTTTCTAGAATCTCAGAATTGAAAGAGACCTGAGGTTCATCCAGTCTAACCTCTTAACAAATGCAGGAGTCCCTTCTCCAAGGGTGATCTTTCCACCTTGAACACTTCCAGTGACTCTACCTCACCTCGCAGTCCATTCAGTTGTTGAGCAGCTCTAACTGTTAGCAAGGTCTTCCTTAGATGGAGCTGAAGCCTCCCTCCCGGTCACTTCTGTAACCTGGGCCGGGTCTGTCCTCCAAGAGAACACAGAACGTTGAAATGCTGATCCTCGTGCCCTCTGCCATGTCTTCTCTCTTTCAGGCTGTTTGACTCACCTGCGCTGATTTCCAGAAGGACTCGTTAGACACGCTGTTAGATCTTCCATATCTGGTGAAATCCAAGGTGTAACTATAAAGTAACAATCTGTTTTTAATTTATCCTCACACCTATCAGAACTTAGATCTTGCATCACTTTGTGTAAATGATGCTATTACTGAAAATATTGGTGAGGTGGTTCTTTGCATTGTTTGTCCACTAGGAAAACTATTTCATTGCTTTGTGATCCCATTTTGTGATAGTCTGTACCCCAGCTTGATCAACTGCTTCCTTTGGTCTGCACCTGATGAGGGGAAGCCCAAAGTGCTGTCCCAAGTAATATCCGAACAGCGTAAGTCATGTTGGAGTTAGTGCTTGGACAGTTTGAATGAATGAACACAGCACCACAGTAAGTTCCTTTATAGTTACACCTTGTATGTCGACAGCATTCAGGCCCTGCTCTGTAGTTGTTTATCCTTGCACAGAGCAGAAAAGCCTGTTTGCTTTTAACTTCTGCATGAAAGACAACATCCGAAATACCTGATGTGTATTTTCATAATACCAGCTTCTGCTCTGCAACTACTTTGGGAGAAATGGTGGTAACAGCAGATGGCCTCCTTTCACGAGACACTCGACTCAAACAGTGCCATTTAGTTCAGGAGATCTCTACGTGTAGCTGTCAATTAGGGGTTTAATTTGGCTTATATTGGAACCTTTTAAATGAAATAAAGTTTTCTAATGCAATAAATCAAGTGTCTTTCTTTTTTATATGCAAACTTCTTTTATCTTTTAATGTCTAATTAGTGTTCTGTTACAAGTTTTTATCTTTAGAAAACTTGATTTTTCAATAATGCTCTTTTGGAATTTAGATGAACCTATCTAAGTGGGTTTTTCATATATATTCATTCAACATATATTTATTGATTGCTTGCTTGCCATATACTTGAGGGTGAGAATGGGCAGAAAGTGACCTAGAAATGGTGGTCTTGTCCTCTAGGAGCTTATAATTTCGTCGTGGGAAGACAAATGCCTGAAAGTAGAAAGTATAGAAATATAATTGAAGTAAAAAGGCAGTACAAAGAACAGTCGCCTTTGGGAAGGAAGGTCAGAACAGGTTTTATGGAAGAGGTGGCATTTAGGCTGGACGGATAGGAACAAACACGATTTGAGCAGGTGGAGAGGGGCAAATGAAATCCTAGGTGAAAATGGTTGGTAGAGGGGGATAGATTGAAGCAGATATCAGCACTTAGCACTTCTGAGCATGAAAAGATCATAAAAACCTACAAAAGAGCTCATTATAAATATGTACAGGGATAAAAGTGAGAACAAGTACTACAAATAGGCTATCGGAGGAGCAGGCAAAGAGGACTTTAATAACCTGGCTCAGTATTATCTTATGCTGGTAATAACAAAATGCCTATTCAGTGTTTATCATGTACTAGATAGACAAGGTCGTAAGCACTTGAAATACATCTCTTAATCCACACAATGGTCCTATGAGGTAGGTACTATTAATAGCACCATTGAACAGATGCAGAAATGAGGCAGAGAGGTGACAGAACTTTTACCCAAGGTCTGTTGGCCAGTAAGTAATTCATGAAGCCTAGATTCAAGTCCAGGCAGTCATTTCCCCAGTCAGTGCTTTAACTACCTACTGACCTCTAATATGCTTTCTGGTCCCCGGTGAAATTGGTGATTTTGCAATTGGACCACATCATGGCTACTAAGTTATATAAGTTCCTTTCAGTTTTCTTCTCCTAGGTCACTAATTTTAGAAGAAACACAAATATGACCACAGCAGACGTCTGTTGAACACCTGCTCTGTAATGAACTGTGCTGGCTCTGCGCAGACAGCGATAAAGGAAGAGGTAACAAAATTTGCCTCGTGATGAAGCCTAAGAGGAGGACAGCAACACAATCATCCTGATACTCTTGCAGGTTGGCTGGCAAGCGTGGCGGGGTGATACTGCTTCAAACTGGAGCTCTGGCTGGGTTTGACTACTTGCTGTGAAGTAGGCTTGGGTCTTCTCCAACTAAAGTTGTCCAGAAGTTCTCAGAGGTGACGACAAGCACAAGAAGGCAAGGCTGAGCACACACACCCAGTTATGCCTCTGCATGTATCTCATGTGCTAATACTCTGTTGGCCAAAGCAAGTCACATGGTCAAGCCCAGCCTGGGAGGAATGGGGACCCTTGATCTGCCCATTGGGAAAGGATAGTTTGAGTCCAGTTTTCACAGTTCATTTAGCCCTGAAATGATAAGCCAACTAGCTTGCCATTGGTTTCCATTTATCCATGGGCATGGTTGGTAGTCTTTGCTTTCTGCCTGCTCCTTCCCTTCTTGTGGTACCCCTTCTGGGGTAGTGGTTCATTTGGTAAAACTGGGCAGCAAAAATGTGTTTTGAATTGGAAAGTTCTTCCTTGGCAGTGTGGAACTGATTGGTTAGGTGTTGGATTTGCTCTTTTCCGAAAGGGAAGAGCCAACCTTTTGCCTACCTGAAACTCCAGAAGAATATGGCACCATCCCTTCTCATCTTACTGTGACCATTCCTTCCAAATCAGCCTAACTTTTTTTTTTATTAGTTAAGGTATTACAAATGTGTCCTCAACCCCCCCCCCCCAACCTCCCCCCACACACACACACTCATGCTCCCATCCCCCTGTTTTCCATGTCCATTGGTTTGGCTTATATACGTGTATACAAGTCCTTCGGTTGATCTCTTCCCCTTACCCCCTCCCTCCCCTACTTCTGGGGATTGATAGCCTGATCGCAGCCTAACTTTTAATACAAAAAAAATGTTGGTGCCTAAAGTTCTCCACTATCTAGATTATTTACCATCTTACCCTCACCAGCACTTGTATAAGTCTCCATTCCCCTGCTTCATTCTTTTTGTGTTATTTTTTTCTCATTTCTTTGTGGTTTTTTCACTCTTCTGGCCTTTCTTATGATTATCTGTCATCTCTCTTAATTAGAATTAAAATACAGGCCTATTTAGACCTTCAGCAAACATTTCTTGGGTACAAACTCTGCAGCGAGCACTTTTTAAATACTGGAGCTACACCAGGGATATAATGATGAACCTTAAGAAGTCCCTGTCTTCGGGAAGCTTGTTTTAGTCAGGGAGACAGACAAGAAAGATCATATTATGACTGCTCTGCAGAAAAAGATTTGTGAGAATAGCTGGAGAGCTACTTGAGATTTTGATGTAGAGGGGATGGAGTGGGGGGGAGGGGTGTGGAGGCTAAAAGAATACCTTGCCCATTATGCGCTAGTGCAGCGGTTCTCAACCTGTGGGTCGCGACCCCTTTGGGGGTCTAACGATCCCTTCACAGGGGTCGCCTAAGACCATCGGAAAACACATATATAATTACATACTGTTTTTGTGATTAATCACTATGCTTTAATTATGTTCAATTTGTAACAATGAAAATACATCCTGCATATCAGATATTTACATTACGATTCATAACAGTAGCAAAATTACAGTTATGAAGTAGCAACGAAAATAATTTGATGGTTGGGGGTCACCACAACATGAGGAACTGTATTAAAGGGTTGCGGCATTAGGAAGGTTGAGAACACTGCGCTAGTGGATTGCACAAACAAAATTGTTGATATGAGACACCATAAGATTTTGCTGAAAAAGGTGAGAGAATGTGGAAGTAACATACTATTAAAAGCAAGAAAGGATAGAGATGTTAAGCTAATCCACAAAAGCAAATCTGAGAGTTCTGCTGAGGTTAAGCCAAAAGCATGTCATCAGTAAACCTGAAGACCACTTGTCATTTGAAGAGAGGGACTCTGGGTTGATAAATAGTGTTTCTTAGATGTCTGCTGGCTCAGCCATCCCCAGTCCATGGCGTGTAACTTGCTTTGCCTTCAGATAAAATTGAAGATGGTACAATGGAATCCCCTCAACCACTGAGCCATACCAGTCGGGCTAGGCGTGTATTTTTAACCATAAAATGTTTCAAAATGGTAATGACTTAATGTTTCAAAATGGCAAATGTTACTTGGATCTAATATTTTAAGCAATTCTTCCCACATACCCATTCAGCAGCCTTCCCTATCTGTACTACCTCTTTTGGGGTTCCTCCTCACAAATGGTAAACACTTATTAGCTTAGATTGCCCCCAAGTTTAGATGGCTGCAAAGGACAAGGAAATACAAAAGGAGATGTAAACGTATTACATATTTACCAGGGTAGATGCTACATTTCAAGGGAGGTCTATGGAAAAATTCAGTTTTGTTTAAAAGTCAATATTTGCTTATGGTATTGAATTTGAGAAAAGTTACTATAAAGTAAAAAAAAAGGCATGTGTCAATTTCACATTGAACATTCAGTGACATTTTTCTTATTACAAAGTAAAACATTATAGTAAAAAATTTAGAAAGATAAGCAAAAAGGGTAAAACAAAGCCATCCATCATTTTACCACTGAGATCACAAACACTAAAAGTGATTTTATTTTTCAAAATCTGTAACTGAACAGGAGCCATATTTTCTAAATGGGGTTATATTATAGTATTTATAGCTTGCTTTTTTACTTGCCATATTATAAAATTTTTTCCATGTCAACATATCTACATAAATACAAAGTAATAAATACACATGGTGTTTAATGGCTTCATCGTGTTGAAGATGCCCTCAACCTTATAACCTCGACTCAGGCACTTACTGAGAACATTCCAGGTGCCGAGAAAGTTGCTCAGTCTCAGCCCCAGTGGAATTCGCCACCTGAGGGAGAACTGGACACGAGGACAAATACATAGAACCCCACATGATTAGTGGAAGGCAGCAGAGCTGTGGAGTCCACCTGGGTGACTTTTGGCAAGTTACACAACCTCTCTGAGCTCTCATCAACCCTGTCAAATGCAGATGGGACCATTCCATGGTCTCGGTGAAGATGAGATGAGTCGATGCCCTCAAAGTGTTTAGAGGAAAGGGAGTGACACATAGTAAGTGATCAAAAAGCTATGCATGTACACACGGCCTGCGTTCAAAACCTGGCTCATATAAAGCTGAGTGGCCTTGGGCCAGTTTAGCTTCTCTGTGTCTTAGCTTCTTCATCTGTAAAATGGGAATAATAAAGATAACTCATAGTTATTGAAAAGATTATATGAGTCACTAGACCGGGCAATAGGAAGCACTCAATAAGTATAAATTGATATCAATATAGCAGCCTACTTTGAGTTAAAATTAAAATTAGACCATAGGCCTGGCGGGCGTGGCTCAGTGGTTGAACATCAAACCATGAACCTGGAGATCACAATTCGATTCTCAGGGCACATACCTGGTTGCAGGCTTGATCCCCAGTGAGGGGCTTGCAGAAGGCAGCTGATCAATGATTCTCTTTCATCATTGATGTTTCTATCTCTCCCTCTCCCTTCCTCTCTGATATCAGTAAAAACACAGTTGTTTTGTTTTTTTTTAATTAGCCCACTGATTCTTCTACACTCCTCCCACCAATGGGTGGGGTCTGTGTTTCCTCCCATAAACTATAGGTGGGCTCTGTAGCAACTTTACTAATAGTATATGGCAGAAGTGCCACTGTGCCCATCTCTGGCCCCAGCCATCTGGAGCTGGCAGCTTCCCCCTCCTGTCTCCTGTGACATTCTCTGGGAACCCTCAGATGTCCTGCTTGCAGTCTAACTGTTCTGAGACCATCTTGCTGGAGGGCCACATGGAGAGGCCCAGCAGAGCCTGTAGTGTGCCAGGCACGGGAGTGGGGAAACCGTCTCTGAAGTG